GCTGCGCGGGGGGGGGTACTGGTACTGATGATCTTATAGATGGGAAGTCTTCTTCTGGTGAAATCTAGTGAAGGCTTGATAAATGAAAGAAATTTAAAATCAAAGCCCAGCCCACTGCTGACCCACCTTTCTACAAAGATAAAGGCTGGGTCAGAAGCAGGATTTATTGAGTAAAGTGACATGCAGCAGTAACCATAGTGACCAAGACACAGCACATACACATCCAGCTATTAAGGAGCTCTTAATAATGAGTAAAGGATCAATTATCCTGTCAAACAGCTGTCATTTACTGCTGAATTAGACCTCCGGACCAAACCAATGCATGTCACGTATAAGACCTTATTTAAAAAATGATTAGAGCAGTAGAAGTTAATCTTTGCCTAAGTTTAAACCAAGGGCTTTGAATAACTTCTTTTTCTGAACTGCCGTTTCCGTGAACCTTGAAAGTGCAGAACTGAACAAGTCTCTGGTTACAAAGACCAGTGGACTAGCTACTATGTAAGTGATAGATTAGCTACTATATATCTAGCTTTTTTGGGCAACAATTGCAAGGCCTTTTGGGCTACAATTGCAAGGCCAATTGCAATAAAACGATTTCATCACAAATAACATGTCTGTGTGATATTTCCTTTACTTACAAGTCTCAAAGATAGTATGTTGGAAATGTTTGATTTATGCCTATTTGAGTGATTAAAACACATTATTAGTGCATACATTTGCTGTTTATTATGTGAAATGAGCTCAGTTTAAATTGCACACAGTACATCCATGCCTTAACGACAGAAATGGTTTGTAATTGACTTGAATGGAAATAAAACTAGAGACCAAATCGGCCATGATAACACAAACCGAAACACAAGGTCCAAACAAAGCAAGCGTCAGGGTTGCAGCGATTCGGATATAAGCCTTCTGGTATGAATGATTACATGGTCTTTTCTATCTTGAGCACATTTTCCCCCTGGAACACGGTTTTTAGGGCCATTCTACATTTCTTGGGTGATTTTTCTTTGCCTTTTGCTCCCTCCAATTCTGATTCATATCAAGAATTGAAACGTGCCTGTTTGTTGGTTGAAATTAGGACTATCGGTATTTACGTTCGTCTTTAAGTCTCTTGTTTGTTGTATTCTTCCACATTATTTTGTGTGAGTATGTTTTGGATAGTGAGGTAGAAGGGATGTCTCCTCCTTCACGTATATAGCTCTCTTCCTGTCCGGACAAGCTGCTTGGCGCATTCCTGAATTTCTACCATTGTTTAACACAAACACGTACATGCAGCACATTCATTCGTGGAAGGAAAGAAATAAGAGGGGAAATAAATGTGTCACACTCTGCGCCTTTTGTGAACCTGCCATAAAAAAAACAACCTATGGGATTTTCCCTCGAGCACCACTTTGGATTTTAGGTCCGTCCATTTGATTGATGTTCAGGGCTCTTTTCCCCTCTTACACGTTTAGATAAACCTTCAGGGGGGAAACATCTCTCTCTCTAATCCTTTGGCTGGAATCGTTTTGTCCTTAGCATAACTTAGCGTAGCCTATATCTGTGCCATTAGATGGTAGCCAAATACACTTTCTTTATATCTTCCCCTTCTTCTTTTTCAGGATTTTAAGAATTTAGCATTTGTATCTCAGGTAATTTATAATTTCTGTGATAGCTTAGCATTTGTAGTTTAGCTTAGCTCAGTTTAGCCTTCATGCTCTTCTTCTGCGCTATTAGATGTTAGCCACGTTAGCTTATCTTGTGCCAATACCTGTATGCCTTCACTTCTCTTCTTCTTTTTTATACATTTCTTTCAAATGGTTATACTTTTGCCCCCTGCTGTTTTTCTCTCTTTAAGGACTTCATTATTCCAGAATTCAGTTTATCCCAGATACAAATAATTTAATTTGTTATTTCTGTGTGAGCTTTATAGAAACAGTCTTTCCTTCCTTAGCTTAGCTTAGCCTAGCATTCCCCCTCTTCTTCCATGTCATCAGGTGTTAGCCAAGTTCACTTCACTTTTCTAGTCTTCTATTTCATTGGTAATTTCTTTAGAGAAAACATGTCTCTCTCTTTCTCTCTCACTCTTTCTCTCTGATGGCGCTCCATCACCACATCTCCCTCTTCTCTCTTCGCTCTCACACACACGGACACTATTTCAGTGAGTGTTGCTGCTGCTCTGATGAAGATCAACACAAAGAGCGTTTGTCTGGCACAACCTCGCCGTCAATCACTCCTTTTCTCTCTTCCCCTGCTCACTCTCTCTTCTCCGCTCTTTGCTCCTCTATGACTCTCTGTCTTCCTCTTACCATCTCTGTTGTCTGTTGTTCTCCCTATCTATCTCAATTTATTTGTACGTCTCTCCTTTTAGTTTGAGTTCTGCAACTCTCTCTCTTACGAAGTGTGTAGCCCATGAACTAGCCACAGTTTGGTGTTTATGTGTTAGTACAGAGAAAGAATGTGTGTGTGTGGACATCCTTGTATGTATATAGAAGATCAGTTCCAGCAATGTATTTTGATTTTGCAATCGCAGCAATAAAAAAAAAGAAGTGTTTTGTGTATTTTTTTGTTCTGTGGTTTTCGGTCCATTTTGTCTAAAGTGTAGATCTTTGTATACTATCATCTTATGACTATTAACAATTAAAATATATATAGAAAATGAACAAATAATACCAGCCACATATATACACAGAACAAACACAGTGGTGATAGTATTTCTGGGATCACTGTATAAAAGTTGCTCCCACATAAAGCTTGAAAAGCTGCTTCACACAAAGGGGAAGCAGTGGATACACACAGTCTCTCAGACTCATGTCTATGAATAGCCTTATATGTGAAAACATCATATTAGAGGGTTGCATGTTCTCTCACTTCCTCATTTTGTCCGTTTGACCCCAGTCAGCTGGATGAATCATCACAGACGGTAACATATGTTTCCAGTTTGTCTGAGAATGCTAGACATTCAAAAAGGCATTTTCCGTATTGTGATGTGACGCATTGCTATCTCCTTTTTCGAGACATCACAAATAAGATGTTGTGGTCAAAATATTGTTGGTTCTAATCTTGTTAGTTAATTTTCTCACATACAATATTTCTCTCTCAATATAGTTCACAACAGTCACAGGCGTCAGGATACACTGCAGGGGAAACTACTGCATTATCCAACACTCCCACAAGTAATGACGCAAACGTTGCAAGGAAAAGACAAACTTCTGAAAAAATCTTCAATTTCTTGGAAGAAAGCGGACTTTTCAGTGCCCTACACAGCTTTTCAGATTTGTTTTGTCCACACAATAACTTTTTAGTGACTTTTGAGCAGATTTTATTTTTTTCTAAAGGCAGATCTCTATTGAAAATCTTAGTTGTTTGGTTTAGATATTGTTTTTTAATCAATCTTTTCACTTATTTTGTTAATCCAATAACCTGTGAACTATGTTATCTTTTTGTTTCTGATGCCATGTCCACCTGGACACTGCTTTTCAGTGCAAATATTTTTCAAATCCCTTTATGGCGCGTAGCTTAGACGGGGAAAACTGTGATTTTGGCTTGTAACGTATATGCTGATATCGTCTTTGTGTGGCATCACAAATACGGCTGTGGAATTGCCGACATAGCCAAAACATTGTTTGTTTATAACTTGCTAATACATATTTACTTTACATATACATGTACAGTTCTCTTCTACTATATAGAGGAACAGAGGCTTTAGACTCCGATAAGACAGACCGTGATGCCGATGTCGACGGTTAAGGAAGAGACCCTTATTTGAAGGGCCATTTATGCCTTATCCCTTTTGGGAAAGTATCCTTGCAAAAAAATATGACAATATAAATCAGTTAAACTATTCATGTTCTGGTCAACAGGTTAGGCAGATTTCTCGACTATTTTGAAAAGCAGATTCCTTTTGAATAGCTTATTTCTATGGTTTCAACATTGTTTTTAAAAGTAAGACAATTACCGGTACACACCATCGATCTTGTGACAGTCGAACATGTGGTATTTTCTCGATCACAGCACAACGCAACACGTACAACATTTTCCAATTAAGCAGCTTTTAATATTTTTAAAACACTCAAATATAATAGTAATAGTTAAGACTTAAGGAAGTTAGCACAGAGAGGCTATCACTGTTGACTCACTGCTAACTACGCTTTGACAGTAAATAGACACACACACACACACACGCACACGCACAAACGCATACACACGCTTACACACACAACGCTAAGATTGCTGGTGATCCTTGAGGGCAGCCATGTCAACTGTCAACTTTCCTTCCCCCACACACACACTCGCACATGCTGGGCTGTAAAAGTGTGTCACCAGGGGAAAGGGGAGAGCTGGGTGAGAGCAGTGAGTCCCATGGGAGCTGTGATGGAGTTACACACTCACACTCCCTCCCTCTGTCAAAGTGGCGGCAGGATCAGGTGTGAATTTCTGCTCCACTTGTGGTCCCACAGTTTATCCTCTCACCCTTCCTACTCTCATGAAACGATGTGATATTAATGATCTGTTTCATAAATGATTCCTCAGCCTTTCATCGTCTCTCTTCTCATCTTATTCCTCCGTCTTGTTTTTCTCAGAGGCTCTGGGAAAGTCCTTCTTTATACAACCTCAGTTTTTGCTAAGCCACTGTTACCAACTTGTTTTTCCACTGGTAACATTGCAATGAGAAGACGTCAATTTATTTGTTTTGAAAGTGAAAATAAACGGTATGACACCCAAAACGTACATAAAAGTCTTTAATTACGGCTAGACTGCTCGCACAGACACCCAAGTATTTGTAAAAAAGGGAAATTTGTTCCTTTATAAAGCACACAGACATTCCTCTTGCTTCGTGTTTAAAGATAGAAAATAATTATAATTACATATATAACAGTTCTTGTTAACCTACTGAACATAAATCAGTTTCATGCCATTTCTTTGCTCTTTTCACATTTTACATACACTACTTGCATGTGGCCCCATTTTTTTCTGCACCTCTATTAGATACATAGAAAAATATCATGGTTACAGGGAACTGTATTGCCATAAATCATAAAAAAAGAAACAAATGTCATGTGATCTTTGGACTTGGACAAGTCAGTTATGGCTTCCTTGGAGTGTTGAGGGGTACAGAAAGTATCTTTTGCCGCCATTTTAAATAAGACCTGTTCTTATAGAGTGATTTTGATGAATTCTCACTGTTTTAAAGGGGTATGCTCATTTTCAGGTTTCATAATTCGCTTTTGTGCCTCTATGGTCACATGTTTTAACGTTCAAAAAGGTCTTTATTTTTCTCATACTTTCACCCTCTGTCTGAAACCAGAGCCCAGCCCTTAGTCTATCACGTAAAAGATGTTCGAGCACTAGCCAATTGAATCGCAAGTGTTACGTAGTGATGTCACTATGTTAAGTGTAAGGGAGTAAACAAAGCATTCCAATCGAGGCGTTTCAGACAACTTTGGAATTTTACCCTTTGCAGACCATTTACATGCACAAAAACACTACAGGAAAGGGAAACCCCACAAAAGCATAAAAGGGCCCCTTTAAGCTTAGATTTAGTTGAGGGTGAGGGAAGTGTTTGTCAATCATCATTCGTTTTAGGACCGTTGTGAATGTAAAAATCCGAAGATCATTTCTGTTATTACACTGTGAGGAAACCTGCTAGCTGGTTGTTGGGTTCAGAGAGGCAGTAACATACATTTGAGAAGCACCACTGAGCAAGTAAAAGCACATGGCCATTGATTTACTTGAATTTAATTACCCCCGTCTCCTGCTCTAAATGTCCCTCTTTCACAATTTCAGTTTTATGCAAGCTTTGCCGCAGACAGGCGGTGGTTACAGTGCTCTTTCTTCACTTCTTTACCATGCTGCTGTGGTGTTTTTTCTAAGCCAAATGTTCCTCAGCAGTTAACTTCTGCCTTTTTTGTATCTACCGCTTTTTAAACTCATGGCAGTTTACATCAAAGCATTTACCCAAACATCAAATCTGTTTTACGGATCTGTTTCGAGTTAGTTAAAGGCACCAAAATGTTGAATCTTCACTTCTAACCTGCATTTTTTCATCCCATATTCCTGTATGCAAATGACTCCATGATGGAAAAACATAGAATCATGATTGCAACATCATCTGTGTAGTATTCCTATAATGTAGTTCATTTCGATCAGATGCTTACCTATCGAGCCAAGTCACCTTATGTTACAGTTTTCTTGTAGCTGGTAGGAGCACATTTAAAACAAGCTGATATGTACATCTATATATGTTAATGGCTTAAAAATGCATTGCTGCTCATCACACTTATGCATGTAGGGCCATATTGCTTCGCTAATTTGCTTGCAAGATGTCAGATGGCATTACACGGTCACTGAGCAAACCATGTAGCAAAATAGATAAATATGCGACAATGGCCCACAGGCACGCATCAACTGAATTCCTTATATGTTCCTCCCTATGTGGTTGGAAAGATATTCAATAAGGCTGAACATGGATGAATCACACGTGAATCTCAACTTGTAATGTAAGCGTTTAAATCATTAAGGAGAGAAAAGGGATTTTTTTGTGAAGAGTTCTTGCATTATGTTTCAATCTTCTCTACAATATAGCACTACATAACATATCTAATTAATATCCCTCCTATGATCTCTTACCGAGTGACGAATGCTAACTCCTTGTGTGTTTCCTGTCCCTCTGCAGAAGTCGGATCCTGGCCAGGTGTTGTTGGAAGCTGTCTTTAAGCACCTGGAGCTGACTGAGAGAGACTACTTTGGCCTGCACTTGGCTGATGACTCCTTAGACGCACCAGTCAGTATAATGTTTGTCAATCTACAGAGTGTTTGTGAGAATGTGTGTGTGCCATGGATATCTAAAGAGAACTGAATGCAGCATTGGAGGCGAGGCATCGTACGTCCCTATGAAAGGTGCTCAGAGGCGCTTTAAACGGAAATCCCTTGACTCTTGAGACCATAAATACCCTTATGCCCCGGCCATCTTCCACACCGATTGGCCCCATAGCACTTGCGTTTGCCTTAAGCCTTGCTTCCAATCCACTCTCCATCTCAGAAGCATCATGTCCGGTCTCTGCTTGGACAAATAAATAGACGGAAAAAAACTTTCGGCTCTTAGCAACTTTTTACAACTTTTATTGCCTTCCAATTGTAGTACATTACAAAATATAAGATTTATAGATGTCTCTTCTGCAATTCAAGCCAAAAGGAAAAAATAATTTTTGGGCCCAGTGATGTCACGGACTAACATGGAAATAATACTTCCGTTTGGCCAATATAAAAATTGGCTTCAACTTCAAACTCACTTCCTGTGTTATTGGTGTGTGCCAGCTGAAAGTCGTGTAGAAATGGCAGTTCTATCCCAAAATGGAAAAAAAAACTAGATTTATATAGTGCTTTTCAAGTCTTTGCGACCACTCAAGCATTCAACACAGACGTCAGAATCTGCCCGTTCATATATGGCATATACTATTATACGAGGAACCACACATCATTGGCCATTCCAGGAGCAATTTGGCATTCTGTATCGTGCCCAAGGACCCTTAGACATGTTGCAGAGGCCGGGGAATTGAACTACTAACCGCTCTGCCTGATGATCCTGACAATTTGGTGCGAGTTGCAGAGTGTTGGAAATACGCCGTAGAGTTATCCATCTCTCAAATGTGATGGAACTGGAAGGCACTCAACTTTAGATGTGGCAAAAGATACATTGAAAAAAACCTACTGCAGTATCTTTTTTTTAGAAATCATGACCAGGTTGGTCATGATAATCCAAAAACCCGTTGTGAGCAGTTTCATGTAGGATCTATTTTATTTCTATCCGACTACACCTTCCTACTGTCCATGAGTACGTTTGACACATTGTTGGCTGTTCTTCTGTGATTAAAAAAAGTAGCTCCTACATGAAAGTGCTTACAACATGATCCGTGGATTGTCTTGAGTTTAGGTGTCATAATTTTTGAAGAGATGGGTTCCTGTTGATTATTTCAAATATATTTTTTTGTGGCGCTTTGTGCATCACAAGTCATCTAGTTCCATTATTTAGCAAGAAGGCAATCATCTCTACGGCTGATATCTTCAACATTCTGCAACTCACACTAAAACAATTTAGAGTGATAAAAAGCACTGCAGGTATGAGGAAAAATATGTTTTTGGGATATTGTTATCCCTTTAATCCATTGACCTCAAATGTGTGTTGTTTGTGTGCACTAGAGTAAGTGTTTGCCTAAAGCAGAACTCTTCGATCTGTTTTTAGATCTGTCTCATAAACATAGATACATTATAAGTGTGTGAATAACTATCTAGAATGTACATTTACTGCGGTGCATATATTATATTGATGTGTTTAAGTATATTTGTTGTGTGTGTGTGTGTGTGTGTGTGTGTGTGTGTGTGTGTGTGTGTGTGTGTGTGTGTGTGTGTGTGTGTGTGTGTGTGTGTGTGTGTGTGTGTGTGTGTGTGGCCAGCCATGAATAATTTAGCTTGTTCAACCATGTCATGGAAGGTGTCTCTAAGTGTCTCTAAATCAATATTTTACAGCGCTGGCTCGATCCCACCAAGCCCATCAGGAAACAGTTGAAAAGTAAGTGGCATCCACCACACACCACCACACTAACAAATCCACCACTACTAACAAATCCAGTTCATTTTCGGGAACAAAAAAAGTCCTAAAAACCACAGCAGTTCACTCAAGTCCAACGGAATTGCTTGAATTTCACAATTGATTAGTTAGTCCAGCTCCAGCAAAGGTTGCAAATCCAGCCTCCACCTGAAGCAAAAGTCACTCTATGATTTAAAATTCTGAATCTGCCGTGAGCAATGATTAAACTTCATTTCAACTTGTTTCTTTTTTAATAATGAGTAATAGGATTTGTAGAAGAATTGAGACGTAGCCCGCGTGAGAAAGGCAGTCGTCCTCCAGCAATGATTGAACTGAGTTTCAACTCTGTGTTTTTGTGCTGAGTGATTGATTCAGTGAGGAATAACCTCAGGGTTTGGTGTTGTACACAATACATGGAGTAAGACTCATCTGACTCATTTGTAGAAATGCTTACTTTTGCACTAAGTCATTTATTCCACTTGTTTGTATCTTCTTTCAAATGTGTGGAACTAATCCACTCTTAAAGTATAGGAGCTTACCATGTTTTGTTTTCCACTCATCAGTGGACCTTTTTGGCTCGTTTTCCACAGGAGGGTCTCCCTATAATATGAGCTTCAGAGTCAAATTCTTTGTAACAGATCCCGGAAAACTTCAGGAAGAATACACACGGTAAGAGTGTTCATTTACAGAGAAAACACTGTATTATACTGATTATAACCCAAAGATGCTTAATATTATCGGAGGGAAGGGTAACAAGTAGGGGTGGAAACGCGTCCAAAAATGATCTCAATATGAAATCATATGTCCTGTGTAGCGCTTTGGTTTCCACTTGTTTCAATGTTTCGGAAAAATGAAGGACATCCTGTCAAGCGGTAGGAGTTAATAAAACAATTCACGGCATGCAAAAGTTATATGAAAAACTCCATCATCAAGGCATGTAGTGGTAGTGTTCGTTGCAATATAATCAATGAAACCACTCTCTAAATGCCATTTTATTCACTATGTGGCCCTATAAGTACTTCCATACGTTTCCTTATTTAGCATGAAACCCTGACATGAATACATGTTTTAGGAAGATGTAGCATTGGATTAAACTGCTACTTAAGGAACAATTTGTAGAATGACCAACGCTAAATAATATTCTAGTTTTTGTGTCCTTTTCAAATAGCTTTATTGAGATGAATGAAGTGTCCAGACACGGTTCAAATGGGTAGCTTATCAAGCAAGAGGTAACATATTGTATACTGTATATATCAAAAGTAATGGGGATCTTATGTAAACAAGGTCATGTTGCTTCTACCCCAAAAGCTTTTGGTTTCCAATCATTACAAATGGAGCTTCGTTCTCTCTTGACGCGGGCTCATTAAAGGAACCCGTATGTTTGGCATCAAGGCCGTTATGTGGACTCCATCCCACAGTTCTGCAAACATAAGGTCTGCAGCAGCGCGCTCTGCACAAACAACATGCAGAGGAGGCGTCACGGCGTCACGCCGCCTTTTCTCTGCCCGCTGTTTATTCCAGCCTCACAGCCCGAGCCTTATCAACACTCTTTATGCAGCTCGTATTAAACAGTGAGCGCTGAGCTGGGATCTGACTCGCTGATGGGGCGTGTTGTACACTCGATTCACGACCAAAACACACTCCTGATGGCTTGGTCGGACAATGGGTGTAACAAAGAGATGGTCTAGTACACGGGAACGCAGGGATAAACAAGACTGATAACGACAGCTTGGATAAGGAATGGCTCCTGGAAGTATTGCTAATAGTAGGGTGATGCTTTCAGTGTCCAATTCATGTCCGTTATACACTATACTGTAAATCGCCTCCATTTCCTTTAGTATTTGTTATTAGCGTTTTACAAGAAAAGCCTTTTTTTCCCACGTTCCATTATTTCTGTCAAGGCAAATGAGTTTTGTTTACTTTACTTTATTTAAAAGCCTCTGCTTATTAAATTAGATTAACTTCATTGATCGGGATTTATTTTGTCACAGGGCTTGTAAAATATATATATAAAATAACAGACTGAGTTACAAAACAATGACTGACCTACTACCAACAAATATGTATATTGTTGAACTCTATACTACATAAGCACAGTTGTCTTTACATGAAACTGGAGTCAATTCAAACAGAGGTATTCAAAGGTGCATTGGACTCTTATCCTAATGCATGTGTTGTGTGTCGTCGTCGTCGTCGTCCCCCCCCCCCCCAGGTACAATATTATCTTCAGATCAAGCAGGACATCGTGACTGGAAGGTGAGTGTGACTTCAGCTGTGTATTTATCGTATGAGTTATATCATAAAGACATGTTGGAATGGATTTTCATCAGAGGCTCTAGATACTGTGTATTAAAGGTTACCACCAGAGTAGAGTGCTTTGAAGCTTTATTCTATCAAGATTCATTTATAACGTTTTTATTTATTTTGCTTCTCGATGCATTCTGGCAGATTCATATTTATCCACACAAATATAATTGGTGTTCCAGCTGTTTCCGAATCGTATGATCCTAACAGATACATCAATCTAGTGTTGTAAGGTCAAAATGTATTGAATTAAAAGTTTGATGAAATCACTTCAAAAAGGTTCATTAAAAAAACCTCAATAAAAGCTTCTAATGTAAAGAAAATAACACATTTGTGAAAGCTATAAACTAGAGGAACTGAATGCAATATATATTCAATGAATTACATATTTACAGTATATGCATTATAAACATCGAACACATGTACAGAAGTCCAAACAAAGACAACTTGCTCATTATTGTTTTTGAAAGAAACAATATGTGCTAATTTTCCTGCCGTTTTTTTAAAGCAGAAATCTGATTGTTTAATGTACTACTATATTTTTACTGTTGAATAGGTTTGTGAGTGGGTAAATGATGACATATATGTGTAATCGCTTTGAGGAGCTATAAATACTGGATAAAGCGCTGCATAAACAAAATCCATTTACTGTGTTATTATGTGAAAATAACTGTAATACTATTTTGCATTGATTCAAAGCTTAATGCTTGTTTATGGTGTGTGTGTGTTTCAGATTGCCCTGTCCACACAACACAGCCGCACTGCTGGCGTCCTATTCTGTTCAATGTGAGTATGGCTCCCTGGATACATTCACTCTATACAGAGCGATGGGAGGGCAATTCATTAGCTTCCCTTTTAGCTGCACACACTGTTAAATGAAACTGCTGTGGTTTGCTCCAGTGCATTTAAAGCCATTATCATTCAATTATGCTCTGTGGTGATATGTTGATATTATTTGCAGTGATATAAATAGACAATGTGATTTTGTTATTACAGAATCAGTATCAGATTTTTAAAGTGTAGTTTATTGCAAAGTTGCTTTACACATACAGTACAAGGAATTTGCTTTGGTGTATAATGGTGCATAGATAGACACAGTGAGAGGAATTAAGAACAAAAAGAATGCCCAAAATTTAACTGTTATACAAATTATATTTATAAAAATATATATAAATTGGAAAAAATATAAAAAATTATAAAAAATGAAAAAATGTATGATAATACTAATATATGTACAGTATAGCAGAAATTATAGCAGAGAGCTGTCCAGTTTAGCGTTTTACAGAAATGTGCTAAAAATATAGAAGACGTGTGACGATGTACAGGGTCCACATGGATATTTAGCGATGAGCTAAAGGCTAACTGCATAATCCGAATAATGACACACTCGCTCGGTCTCTTTCACTGCTGCTCATTGTTTTCATGCAGTCTGCTTCTTTCTTTTATCTCTGTTTAGTCTGCCTCGTCCCTCTCTGATTATCCTTTTCTTTCACACTCACAAACCCCCCTCTCTCACCCCCACCTCTCCCTTCCGCTCTCTCCCTCTTTATGTCCGCCACCTCGCTCTGGCATATTTTGAAGGGATTGTGCACTGCTACAGTATATAGGTCAGAGAGGAGATTTGGCCCAGACTACCAACATCATGACACCACTGCTTTTACCCCCCCCCCAACACACACACACACACACACACACACACACATACACTGTGTGTCCGTGTTGTCCCTTTGCCCAGTGCCAGCCCAGATTATGAAGATAAATGTTTGCTTTGGGAAAAACGGTTTGAAGCAGCTGCTACGCTGCTAATTCAGTTAGCTCGGACCAAGTGCCACCACTGATCACACCGAAGTGACCAAATTCTGCTTGAAAATAATAGTGACCCCTTTCTTGGATATAACGTATTTTGGTTTGTATAAGAAAAGCTTGACATTACGGTAGTACATTTTGACTTGTGTAATGTACATTTTCGTATACACAAAACATTTCTTGGAATAAAGAAATTCTTAGTCGACTAACAATTGTTTATGGACTCATTGATTAGTTTTTTAATCGATAGATCTGTATATAAAAAACTTCTTCACAAAGAATCATGCTAAAAACACCTCTTTTAAATCATGCGCGTACAGTACCAGCGATGTGCTCATGGTTTTCTTGGAAATAGTAATGCAGGAATGGAGTAATCTTGTTGGCCATCCCAAAAGTTAGCATCGCTGTTGTAACATCTACGAGAGTTCATGAGATTTTCCATTCGGTTTTGGATTAGAAAATACGCTCTCTTACCAACGTTAATATTCATATTAATAAAGGGCAAGCACACACAATGTATGGAAATCCACCATCATCACAAACGGAGAGGTCAATGTGTTGCTTGTGCCGTGTTAGTCAATAGTATCGTTATAAGGAGCCTGAGCTGAAGCCAGTATGGATTTCACATGGGTAGATAAATACATGCAGAGAGGTCAGGTTCTCTATGAGCTGCAGTGGCCTTGCACTATAAAGCCAACATTAGCCCACTGCTCTAAACCGAATGCTATTGACCGAACATATATTCCTCCCTGGAGCCGTGTACACGTCAATAAGAAGTGAGCCAAGATTGATTCGTTGGTCAATATGCTTAGGCTACCGGCTAGTAGCTTAGTCCAGGGACCACTTGAGTTAAATTGATGCTTTTTGAGTGTAAACTGTTAGCTAGTGAGCCAATAGCTTCAGGGATTCACTTTTCCTTCTTAAGGGGATGAAAGACCTTGGAATGATTTCACTTTTTATCTTTCTTCTTCTCACTTCTTTCTTCATCTCTGACTACAAACAGTTAACCTTCTGTCTTTTGCTATTTGGATCCCCATTTAAATGTTTCTCTATGTATAGAAAAGACGACATTCATGTATACTTGCAGTTCAGTCATGGGCATTTTAAAGAAGACATATTCTGCTAATTTTCAGGTTCATAATTGTATTTGGATCCTCTACTGTGAACTGTTTCCATGCTTTAATGTTCAGAAAGTCAAACAAATTCCTTCTGGAGGGGACTTTGGGATGTGAGCCCTTGCATTCCTATATAACACACTACAGGAAAGGGAAACTCAAAGTCATAATAATAGGGTTAGGATATATTATTTAAGGCATCGTCTTGCTTTACCATCTTTTTTAATAATATCATACCACCTTGGTGTATGGGCACACTATAAGCACTCTTTGATCTGAAACACGTGTATACAACAGCACACTCAAAAGTAATGAGTCCTGCTTTCGTCATTGAAGGGGATCGTCAGAGGCTGTGAGAATTTGCAGTTAAACTGTGAAGTCTCATTGTTTTTTGTCACCACTGTGATTGGGTTTGTTCCAATGCCTCCCTGCGTAAACACATGCACAAAGTCAATACGGCGGCACAGAGATTGAAGAGTGTGAGATGATGACTGACGGTGTGAGAAAGTGTAAATAACACAATGATGGTGTAATGAATTTGAATAATTAGCCAAAGCATTCAAGTGTTCATATTCTGAAGATATTTGGCAATAATGGTTATTGCCAGCTTAGGCGAAATGTTATTTTTTAAATAAGCCACATCGAGTATAAAAAAAACATACTTTTCCAGATCTGACACATGAAAAACGTTCAGATCAAGAAAATTATACACTTGTTTAGTTTTTTTTAATAATTTGGCTTTATTGGTATCAGTTTCTTTAATGACATGTTTTAGGGCTGGTCTTTTTATTTAAGATACATTTATTATTTATAATTATTTTAAGCCAATCTCCAAACAATGGGTTAAATCACTCCACTCCACTCCACATATGTTTTCATACAAAAAAATCTATTCATGAAAACAGTCACAATATGTTTTGTAAATGGATGAATGTGAAGCATATGTTCGCACAATGAGTGTAATCCTATCTTTGATTATTGATGTATCGACATCATATTGATCTCTCCCTTGTTTTATAGCTGAGTTGGGGGACTACAGTGAATCGGAGCACGCAGCGGGATATCTCTCAGAGTTCTGCTTCATGCTCAACCCTCCGCAAGACTTCCACAAAGAGGTCGCCAAACATCACCAGCAGCACAGGTACGTCGAGATACAAAAAAAACAAGCACAGAACTGATTCCACTGACAAATGCATGTAAAATAAAACACAAAGGAAGTGAAGCATTCAACCGTGCTTGTGGCAGGAAAATCACTCAGAAATAAATTGGATTCCAGACCTTGAACAGATTACTCTGTGTTCAGATAAAGTGTCTTTTCATCTGGAGTCACTACACAGACATTTGTGGCAGTAAAAGTGATCCATTCTACCATCAGTGTACATTATAGGGTTGGGGGATATGAGGCTTTATACTGTAACGGTAGGAATGTGCCAAAAACAGTAGAGATTTGGCAAAAACAGGACCACCATCGTAGCTATTCTCGCGGTATCTTGTGATCTAGCAGAACTTTGGGGATATGTTTCACAGACATTTGCACCAGGTTTATTTCAACACGGTTTTGTCGATTCTTAAAATGAAAAACGAACATATTCTGGAGGCAAAGTCATTTTTCAAAAACGTATTCTGCATAGAAATGTGTGAACTTATTTTGCTTAATACTGCAGGCTTTCATTTATTTGTTTAATTCAAACCGGTAACACTTATAATTCGTGCTCTTTAATTCTTTAGTTTTTAACTCGATCATTGTCCTGTTGAGTTAAACAAAAGAGTGAAATAATAACATTTGAGGAGAAACTGAATGATTATTTTCCAACATGTGTTGTGATTGATGTCCCGTCCCATTTCCTATCAATGCAATGTGTTGGAGTGCTAGCCAATAGAAGCGCGAGTGTCACCTAGTGATGTCACGATTTGACTAGAGTAGACAAAGGAGCACAGGTGTTTCAGCATAGACAACTACCATAATATAAACATCAGATTTTGTCCGTATCCCTTACCCAAAATACATCATAATGAGCCCTGTGAAAAACATTTTATTTTGACAGGTTTTCTTTTTACCGAGAAAAGTAAGAAAACTCACCACCTTACACAAACAGGTGCTCACTAATCTGACCCTAACCTGCTGTCCACATTTCTGATTTATTTTGTTTCTTTTTGTGCCCTTCCCATTCTCCCTCCTTCTCCATATGTCTCTTTGACACCTACTCTCTCTTTTTCCACCGACCCTGTCATCATCACTCCCTTTGCTCCCGCGCACAACCTCCCCCCCCCCATCTGTGTTTGAACCCATCCCTTTCTCCCTCCCCTCTCTCAGCGGTCTATCTCCTGCCCAGTCAGAGTTTAATTATCTGAACACAGCACGCACGCTGGAGCTCTACGGGGTAGAGCTGCACTATGCAAGGGTAAGTACGGTTTCATTTCCTCACCGATGACACTTGTTTTGGTGCATGTGTTAAAGTCTGCGTTGCTGTTTGAAAGAACTAAAGTGTGTTTTTAATACACATTGATGCACCCTGCAGAAATGCTGCACATTAGGAAGGCAACAGGTCATATCAATCAATAAAAAAATAACACATTTGTCCACAAAGAAACCACACAATCAAAGGGGAAAACATGAAAAAGCCTCAGGGGGCCCTCACCCAGAAGAGACAGACGTGAAATAGATGTTATGTCTGTATAAATAAATACAAAATGATTCATATAATATGAAATACATCATCATAATGCTTATATTTATATATTTATTCATATGTTTATTACATTTTTATTAATTAAGCTTAAACGCATAATAACACAAGACAAGCAAACTTGCTCCGGATGCTAACAGCTAACGTTACTAGCTGTTCTTCGTATTAAACAGGGATTTATTCTTCACAATGAAGCGTTATCAGGCATCGGAAGCTGATAAGGAACTTATTTCAGTCTCCCTATCACATATTTGTACAAAATATCATTACAAATTTGATAGTGGAATTTTATTTCACAGTGTAATTAATCAGCAGTCCACATGTGTTCCTTACGGTGAGGTTTGGGTGGAGGTGTACGGGTGACTTATGACCTCATGCTCCGTTACACTTATTTTTTTTAGTGAGGAAGTGTAGTTTTCTCTCCTTGTCCAACAGCAACCTGTCTGGCAGTGAGGAAGCCTCTGTGTTTCTAGTGTTGTGTACCTGGATTCACTACACACACACACACACACACACACACACACGCACACGCACACGCACACACACACACTCTCCTTCACACACTCTGTTCTCCTCTCTACAGGACCAGAGCAACACAGAGATTCTTCTCGGGGTAATGTCCGCCGGCATTGTCGTTTATAAGAACAGGGTACGGATCAACCTTTTCGCATGGTGAGTCACACACACACACACACACACACACACACACACACACACACACACACACACACACACACACACACACACACACACACACACACACCATAAAGTACGCAGATCCAGGTGTGATTTGCTTACATGGCGTTTCCAAGAGAGGTGACTTTCCCAGAGTTGTTGTAAAGTGTTTCGAGGGAGGCAGAGTGATGTTGTGAGGCAGAAGTTGTGGGTCGTTAGGGTCAGACACGTGATGGTCATATCAGATTTGTCACAGTCCAGTTTTAGAAAGTTGGCTTGCATTAATGATTTTATTTTCAGTGAGGCAGTTGGTCAGGGTGGAGTGAGTTGCAGTGGCGATGGACCAAGAAAACAGATGAAAACAGAGGGGGAGCGGGTAGAGGATGACAAAGTACTGAAACTTTCCCAGTTTTTTCCTCGTATATTTGTGAGTTTATTATCCTAGATGATATTCAAGATGTATTCTTGTATATTCTTTAAAGTTATTTTCTTTAATTCGGAAATATAATTTGGAAAAATATACACACTTTTTGAACAAGTGTAACTGAATCAACTAAGTGTGAGAGATGAATGAAGCTTGTGGTCAGAAAACAACTGACCTGAAACGGTTTCAGTGAAGCTACTATTTGACCCAAAGCAAAAAACCTGCCAGCTATCAACTAAGATGGAGTAGAACTGTGGATAAAAAAGAAGCTTATTCCATTAATATTTTCATCTTCAAAACCCAGTTACTACAAGAAGTTCCACTGGAACAGTTGCATCTCCCGTCTGCCTTTCTTTCTGGAAATCAAACGTTGATTGTTGACAAGGCTGGAGACCAATGCTGTGTCCCTGAACGCACCACCGCTTTCCACATGTGGTACACTTTTAATCCAATGACATTAACAGTGTCTTCTTTTTCGAAACAGTATAGTAGTACGTGTAGAAAAAACCCCACATGTATACATTTTATTTGAATGGTGTTGTGCTCTTCCGAACAACTGTTGCTGGTCCCGCAACTTCTGTAACATAGCCAAGATGGCAAATGGTTGACTGTGAGGTGTGTCAAGCATTCAACTCTTAAAATGTCACCGTTATTGTGGTGCTGCTAGTGCACTGCCCTTTGCCCTGCTTTGAGAACGCTCTTTTGCACTCAAAAATATTCAGTATAAGTACAGAAGTACTCAAATTGAGACACAGTCGATCACTCCATCATTTCCCCAAGCCACACACCCCTGATCTGGGGAATCAAGCCAGATGTTCTTGTCACAAACCCACCTCTCTTTCTATCTACCCTCTGCCAGCTTCACTTCAACCGCCTCCAGGAACCCTTTTCACTGATAAATGTGCTGCGTAATGTCTCCGCATCATATTAAGCCTCCAGAATTAAGCAGATGATTCCCTCCGATTTTTCTAAGCAGAGGACCTCGAATGAAACAAGGTTTCCTGGAAATATTATAGCAATCACATCTGCTTGCCCTCCTTCTCTCTTTCTGTCCTTTTTCCACCGCTCTCTGTGTCCAATTCTCTCATCACTCTTTATGTCTCTTGCTAGCTCCAAAGCATCGATTCTTGGAAACCTCCCGTCCTCTGCTGCTGCTCTGTGGGAGGCTAAATGCTAATGGGTGCCAGGGGTGGGATAGTAACTACTCAAATCCCTGAAACTCCGGAAGATAATTCACTCGTGTGTAGGCTTAACATCATACACACCCTGATCAAGCAGCTGCAGTGTGTGTCGACATCAGCCAATGTCTGACAACAGTAAGGTGATTGAATGTGTGCTCGTGTAAGGGTTTGCATTACTGACATTGTGGGGACCTTTACTGACATTGAGAGTAACAAATAATGAAATATGGTGACTCGCCTCCCATTTTGGGACGGTTTTTGGGGGTTAGGAATTAATGTAAATTGGAGAAAAAATCTGTATAAGCTAGTTTAAGCTATAAGCGCGTCTGCATATCCAGTTGAGCTAAATTTAGAGACCAACAGTGGTGTCCCCAACAGCTGTCCACCACCACGTGTGAGAAATAGAGAGCAACACAATATACAACAGTGTCTCTCAAACCTTGGCGCACTTTTCTACTCTCCTAAAGGAAGTCTTAGTATTTCTTCTCTCTTATTATATTAGATGGAACTGTAAGATACAGTAAGAAATGGGTCAAGAGTGAGAGACATTCAGAGTGTTGCCTCTTTCCTACTCCTGTTCACAGCAGCCGGACAAATGAGCCACACTTAGATGCCGCGTTGACTCACACTCTGCCTAAGCATGTGTGCGTGTGTGTGTTTGCCCATGCGAGAGTGTGTGAGTAAGTATGTAAAATATATTTAGCAGGCAGCGATGAGTCACAGCGGCAAAAGAGCTCTGGGAAGGGATTATGTTACTCTGCTGCCGCTCGTCAGCAGACCTCTTATTACTGTGCGTGTGTGGCCCTCTGATTGGAATATTATTTAATTCCTGCCTTTTTAAAGGCATGACTAGATTCAACACAGATTGATGAGAAAAAGGAGGGCATGGTTGGGATTTTGAGAGACTTCAACATGGTTGTTATCGTAGCCTCCAGCTCTGGATGAGTAACAGGTCGGAGGTTGAATGAACAGTTGGGATGTGACACATGGGTCAGCTTACTTGATGAACTGGTGATTCAATGAGGAAGTGTGGGTTGTAGTTCTATTTATTTATTTATTCCTGAGAGATACGTTTAAACATGCCATTGTGTTTCCATCTACGCTGCCTTTTTCTAAGTATGTTGACTGTATAGTACTTGCATTTGGAGGATTGGATAATGGTGTATGTCTACATTTAAAAAATGTATATAAATAAAAGATTTGATAGCCTTTTAAATGACACTGATATAATGAAGGTCAGTCATAGATAAGCTGTGCACCCAAACACTTGTTACATTTTTAATACTCTTTAAAGAGGACACAATTTACTGTGACATGTTTCGACAATGTGTTGAAGCGCTAGCCAATAGAAGTGCAGGTGATACATAGTGATGTAACTATGTTACGGAGGTAAAAAAAGCAGTCCAATGGAGGTGTTTCCGGCAGCGGGGGGGGGGGACATTTTGGATTTGAGCCTTTGCACAACATTTTCATGCACACAATCCTCTATAACACATTACAGGAAAAGGAAATCCTCAAAATGGACGTCTTTAACACAATAGCATTTTTCATATATAATCATCAGTATCAGAAAAACACTTGCTGTTAAAGAAAACAAGGGAATCTAGTCTATTCTTACAATATCCATATATTGTTTCTGCATGTTAAGAAACAGTTGACCAATACAGTAAGAGCATTGTAGGGCGGATAATGATTTTTCTTTATTCCAAACTAGCTCCCTTGTTATCATGAAAAGCTGTACAGGGTGCCGTTAGTTTGCTGCCAGGAATAGCATCTGCTTTACTCAGCCATTCAAATGATGGACTTAAATGTTTCACATCATAAAGCTTCAGCGATGGACTGGGACATGCTGAGAGAGAGAATGCATAACTTTGTATAATGTATAATTTTAGGCAGTGTGTAAGAAGATGATTTCCCAAAGGGAAGAGAAAGCGCTAACTAGATGTTTAGGACTTAAACATTTACGCAGGAAACATTTGGTTGTGTTGCTATAATGGTTATTGAAATGCCCTCAAACCATTTCTCATGAGCAACAATTGTGATACTGTTAATATATTGGTTATTACAGATGCTTTTTATTCCTCTCAAGCATAACAAAATGGTCAGCGTAACATTTAATACAGTTTTGAGGTCATTTTGTTCAATATTGCTACACGGTGTAGTATTTGGGCAAACCCACTACTGTAACATCAATTTGTCAATATGATGATAAGCTCATTAACTGCTGAGTGTCCTCATTTCTCTTCTGTATTGTTTTTGTCTTTTTCTGCTTACAGGTTGAAAATAGTGAAAATCTCTTTCAAGTGCAAGCAGTTCTTCATCCAGCTAAGAAGAGAAGCGGTAGGTGTACGCACACACGCACAAACACACGCACACACACACGAACACAAGCACGCACACACATACGCACACGCACACGCACACACACACACGCACACACACACGAACACATACACACAACGCACACACACACACACACACACACACACACACACACACACACACACACACACACACACACACACACACACACCTTAACCACCACCATTGTGTCTTTTGAACAGATGAAAGAGTTTATCCTGTGTTTCTCCGTACAGACTGTATACATGTGTGTGTGTTTATATGCTGTAGATAGCTTAGCTGTGTCTGCATATATGTGTGTGTAATCAATGTCAGATTAACCCCCTGCTGTCTGTGTCCTGGCTCACCCTCTATAATCACCCTCTCTGTCCTGCATCCCTTGTTTAACATGTGGATCTCTTTTTTATTCACAATTTAATAAACAATGTTTTTTACCTTGCTTTTTTGCAGTTACATTTTGAAGCCTCTTTGATGTAAAAAAACGAGTTCTTGAATTTCCATTTCTACCCCCCTTTCTTGTTTCGTCTTCCTCCCTGAAAGCATTATAAGAGCTACACTGTCCTTGAACATACAGTGTATTTACTGTATATATTTGTGTCTGAATACTCAACCGACTTTCGCCTGTTACTTTACTAAATGGCATAAACGTCATCCCTATTTGTTCCAAATTCTGTGTTTCCCGAACAGAGGAACTCGCTTACCGGTGTCTAGAGCTGCCAGGGTTAAAGGAAAGACAGAAGAGTAATGTTAGCTCAACAGATTATTAAGTTAGAAACAACGATTTAACAAAAAAAGGATTTCCTCATATTAACACTCACAAGTCAGCTTTACCACCTGAACACCACAGGGAAGAAAAAACTATAGCTAAGGTAAGGGTTAAACTGTCAAAACCATTAGCCCCCCAAAGAACTGCTTAAAGAAATACAAAAAAAAAATAGAAAAGGTTAGCTTAAAGTATTGATTCAACCGTAGACATATTTAGCCAAAACATTTGTCTAAAAAGGAGAAATATTTAGCTAAAATAATTGACTTAACTTTTGAAATAATTAGCTTAAAGTCATAGTTAAACATTGTACGAAGTTATCTAAAATAATTGGATTTGTAATGGTAGTAGTAAGCTAGCAGAAACCGACAAATTGTCAAAATAGTTAAAGTAATTGATGGAAAAGTAAAAAAACAGTTAGCCAGAATGAATGCAGAGACAGTTAAAATAGTTGGTTAAGCATCAAAAACTATAATCAGTACATACAGCCGTTAAAAATTAATAGAAATACAGTTTAAACAGTGCCTGCCTTTACTACATGTACATGTATATTTTCTTGCATTACAGATACATGCAGGTCACCCACTCTCACCTCTCATGCTGTATACCAAAGTGTTATCCAACAGCCCTCTAATGGTCTCTTCCCCTCCCTGCACACAGACTGAGACCCGGGAAACGCTGCTGGGTTTCAACATGGTGAACTACCGGGCCTGTAAAAACTTGTGGAAGTCTTGTGTGGAGCACCACACCTTCTTCAGGCTGGATCGACCCATCCCGCCACAGAAGAACTTCTTCTCTCACTACTTCACTCTGGGCTCTAAGTTCAGATACTGGTAAGAAATATAAGACACATTCTCTCCAAGAGGAATGTGGAGATAATCCACAGAGGATTTCTGAAGAGTCTTCCTGGGACAGCCAGACTTTGACAGCCTAACATGTACACACACTTGATCAGACACACACATAAATGGAGCAGACATTTTGTTGATTTGTCTGTTTTTCCTTCAGTCGGTCTCTCAACAAGAGAATCCCTCCAGGGAAACATGAACAGAAATCGTGTTTGTTTGGAAGTTGATGCAGTTGTTCCACTCTGTGTTGAGCGGCTGAAACAATAGAAGAGCTAACGGATGCCTCTCATTCTATTTTCTCCTAGAAAACCACCACTTAATTATTCATTGTGTCCAAGTCACTTCAAAGTCCCACACCACTGTTAACACTGTTTTTTTTTACTAATAAACCCCTTCACCTTGATTATATAATGTACATTTTGAGGATTTTAAAGTTGTAAAAGAGAAAGAAAAACACAATGGCTTTTCCAAACCTTTGATTCAGTCCTGCATTAGACCAAGCCTTGTTGTGTGTGTGTGTGTGTGTGTGTGTGTGTGTGTGTGTGTGTGTGTGTGTGTGTGTGTGTGTGTGTGTGTGTGTGTGTGTGTGTGTGTGTGTGTGTGTGTGTGTGTGTGTGTGTGTGTGTGTGTGTGTGTGTGTGTGTGTGTGTGTGTGTGTGTGTGTGTGTTGGATGGTGACTGATTGAATTGATGTTGTTTATTAACAGTGAATCATAGGATATAATGTTCATGTTGAAAATGTTGTTCTTGTTATGGGCTTGCGAACTGTGGTCGCTGTTCATTTTTCATTTTTTCAAAAATATTTTCTTCCTGGTTCACTCTGGTTAAAGTTTGATTTTCCAAGAAAGTCCACTGATGTGTGTTTATTTTTCAGCGGACGGACGGAGGTGCAGTCTGTGCAGTATGGAAAGGAGAAAGGCATCAAGGACAGAGTGTTTGCAAGGTAATCCGGAATGTTTCACTCTCGCCATCACAAAGCAATAACGGTAGAACTAGGGTGTTATAACTATTGTTTTTAATTCAGCTCAAATCAAATTATAGTCTTGTTCTGCGCAGATCTCCCAGCAAGCCATTAGCCAGGAAGTTGCTGGGCGGGACTGACTGGGAGTCGGTCAGCAGGAACAGCCTATCAGACGAGAGACTGGAGACACAGAGCCTGCCCACCCGATCGCCGCCCGGGACGCCCAATCAGTGAGTCCGAGGTTTTAAGTCTACCTTCACTTAAGATTAACATCAGACAACTTTAGGAGAACACATTTAAATAAGCATTTTCAACATGGTGAGGAACATATTAAAATAAGCATTTTTAAAATAAAAAGTTGAAGTTAGCCTTACAAGAATGATATCTACAATTGTAATTCAAATGAGTATGATTTACATGAAATGATGTGTGTTGGATATTAAATTCAGCACATTAAAAACATTTGAGTTTGTATCATCAGCCCTCTAACATCACTGTCTTTGAACGTGTGTTTGTCAGGAACTCGATGTTTGTACAAGAGGGAACGCGACTACGCCCGTCGTCCGTTGGCCACCTGGTCGATCATGTGATCCACACCTCACCCAGCCTACCTGTCTTCTCCTCGTCCAATCACAAGTCAGCATCGTCCACGCAGGCAAACAGCATCAGCTTGGACTCAACACCGTAAGTCTCTGTCAGGGGACAAAGGGTTCATTTTTTCAAATGTTTCCTTTCTTCTTTTTCATGCACCCACATCCCCCCATATTTTCTTTAAAGCTCTTTGTCTTAAGGAGAAAATAAAACAACAACCGCTGACTTGGTAGCATGGAAGTAATATAACTGTAATTGAACTGCCTCATGAATTAAACAGCCACCATTTAATTCTGAAGTTTAATTTTACCCATCAGTGTCAGTGCCACTCTGTCTGACTGTTCCGCTGAGTCGGCTGCTTTTTAAATGTCTGTGTGTGCCTGTGGCTTCTCCCGACGGTTCACACCCTCTCCCAGTGTCACTTAGCCAGTCCCATTGAAAGATGAAGCCTTTGAAAAACAGCCTGTAAAATGCGTTTATGGCTGGTACTGTAGCAGGGCGGAGAGGTTATACAACAGGGCTGAACTTGGAATTAGTTTGTGTGTGACTATGTGACTGTGTCTGTGTATGTGTTTGAGTTTTTGATCTAATAAAGTTCAACATTTCAGTTTTAAAGCCTGAAAGCCGAGTTGTAAGTAGAGTGAGTTGTGAGCGACTTTTAAAACTCTACAAAATGAGCTAAAAATCACATTACATTTAAAATATAATAATAATAATAATAATACATTGGGCTTTAATAGCGCTTTTCCTAATGCTAAGGGTGACTTTCAGTATCTGTACAGGGACATCAGATGAAAATAGCCTGTTGGCTAACTCGCACATTTACAGAAATGTTTATTAATGTGCACTGTCACATTCGATAAACAAATAAACAAGTTATTTAAAAAAAAAAAGGCGTATAATACAAAAAAGAAGTCTTTTTATTTGTATTGAATAAAAATTTTAATTGAAGGAATTGCTCTTTGCAAGGGTGTACTTGCATTATATAGCTATTATATCGTAATCACATCAGTAACTTTGAATGGCCTAATAAGACGAGAATATCATTTATCACAATTATTTATAATTTATTACATCCAAACAAAGGAGTGGCAATGGTTGACATCTACTCTGTGCGGATCTAAGATAAATAATGAATGGCTGGTTAGTCAAATGTGTTGTTTTGGATAGGAAATCATTAAGACACTTAATATATGCCTGACATATCATGTTATAATATTTGATTGTCAAGCAGCCATATTTTGTTGTATTGATCTGGAAATGAGCCGTTGATGTAATATGCATGTTTGAATGAGGCAAAAGGTGCATTGTAAATTGTGTGTGTGTGTGTGGGTGGGTGTGGGGGGGTGTGGGTGTGTGGAAGATGGAACATTTCTCAGTTGGAGATCAGAGTCGTTAAGTAACATTATCGTGGTAGTTCCGCTGCCTACAAAGCTAAACACACACACACATACATACACACACACAGCAAGTGTCGGCTCGTCACTTACAGAGCCAAAAGATGACATAATCACCTGCGCTCTCTTCCTCGTGCACGTTATACATGCCTATTCATATTTTGGCTTCATGACATTTGTCCAATCACAATAACCAATACCGTTTTTAACCCCCGCGTAACATTTTCATTTCAAAAACTACATTTTTCTGCTTAAAAAAACTGCAAATTCTGTAAATTAATCAACTTTAATTTCTAATCAAAACATATCTGGTAATTGTGTTTCACCTTTTTACTCAAAGGAAGCTATGTAGCAATCATTCACTTTGTGTAAGCATGCTATTGTGACAACCAAATTCGGCCTGAAGCATAAAAGTTATTCACCATAATTTCATAACGACTAAGATCAAACCAAACTTTTGACATGCTGCCTTGCCCAGAGTTCATCTGGAAAAACAGCAAGAGGAAACAATGGGGAAACATCCGGATGGAATGCCTAATTCAGTTGTTCTTTTTTTTTTAGAGACGTTTATCCATTAGTATGGCGGCAGGCCGTCAAAACACAAAAGATGAATCTGAAAATAGTAACCTCGGTACAATTTTCAAAACTAAAATATTATAAAAAGGACAAAATTATGTTTTTTTACAGTTTGAGTTGCCTCCTCCACCATTTATATTGTGATGCTTTCTTAAAGGAACTGTTTCCAATCCAGATTCCAACTTTCGTTTTGAGGGCAATCAGTTTTAGATTTGAATACATATATGTCCTTTGTTCATACTAAGTTGTGATTTTGTTTTGTCAAGTACAAATATAAAATTAAAGCCGCAAGTTTTGAATATCTTATGATCTTCAAGGTCTTGCAAAGGTGCTAGTTAAAGTTGATTGGATCAAACCTGTAGGAGTTTGTTGAAATACAGCATGTGTAATGTGCAACAATTGGTCAAATATTGCACTTAAAAAGCAAGATGGCCAACTTCCTGTTGGGTTTACATCATGCCGCCAAAAAGCTTTTTTGTGCATCTCACCATGCTACATAAGCCTATCCAATTTCAGATTTGTATTTGAAACGTGAGCGAGGGGCTGCCTTTAAGTCACTTGGGGGGGGGCTTGTTTGCAGACAACCGAGAGCAAAACCCTTAAAATATAAAACTTTTGTTAAACGTTTAGGCCTTCGAGACTTTGTAGGTGCCCTAACAAAATGAAATGTATAATATGTAATGCCCACCTTTCCCCTGAAAGATTAGTCATTTTTTTTACTTTGCATCCCTACTCTTAAATATACAACAACCTTTAATTTTCTATTTAAGACGACATGACTCCAAACATATTGCAATAGTTTATCGTCTGTCACTCTCAGACCCCATAATCCAAATTTCCCCAAAGTTCCTCCCACGATTTTCCTCCAATAAAAACCAAATTAGAATCTGTTTCTGTCCCACAGGCCACAGTTAGACGCTGTGTCAGTTCCACACATGAGCAATAATACAACAAAGCCATAACCCTCAGACACTCTTCTCTATAATGTTCTGTTTTTAGTTGTGTAAATGATCAGTTTAGCTAACCGCGCCACATTGCAGTGACGCTTTTCAAAATGCGGCGTCTATATTTTCTTGACAATGTTGGGGATCAAAAAGGCACAGTTACATAATGTGCTGTGACACAACAGGGCTACAGCAGTATGGTATATGTCATGATACATTACATTGTACTGTATGCTTAAAACAGACATGTTTCTTCAAGGTTGTCAAGCAAAGGAAAAACAGTTTTGGGTGTGCACTGAAAGTGTTTTTAATTGCATCTTTTGGTGGTTTTGAATGCATCATGGTTTTTTATTATAGGGTCAAAAAAGTGTTGGACATTTTCTTAAAAAACATATTTGAACGTTGCATTTATATACAACCTTTCGAACCTGAGTTTACAAACCGCTTTCGTGCATGAACCTCTCTGCATTTGGGTGCTGGTTTTTTCGAGACACCTCTTACGCTCATTCCACAAATGCATTATTTTTCAGCGGAGACCTTTCAGTAGCCAATCAGGTTGCTCCTTAATTTCCCACACGTTCCCACAAGGGTTTGATTTAAAGGAACCATATTAATTAAAAGCTCTTTATTTTTCTCATACTGCCTGTGCTGCAGCACCTCTTTTCACCCTCTGTCTGAAACCAGAGCCCAGTCTGCTCTGATTGATTTGCTAGTCAACCTTTATTTTTTTACATATCTGGTTGTTTTTTTTGCATTTTACATTTTTGAATCCTTCTTCAGCATTCATTTATTTTGAGAATGATCTGACCTCATGCTTCATAGCAGCTTGTTTTTAGATCTTCTCATGTACCCACGATCTTGTGTCACTGTCTCATTTAGTTCCATCAGGCTTTCAAAAATGTTCCTTAAGGAAAAGAAGAAATTTAGGATCAAAGGTTTTAGTCATGTCTGCTGTCGACAAAGGTTAAATCTCCTTATCCCAGGGCTTTGGCTATGTTGTGGTGTGGTACGAAGAAACGTTCATATCCATTTCACTGGTGTGTGTCATGTTGAGGAATCGCAGTAATGCAGGGGGATGTAGGGTGTGGGCTCGGGCCTGCCCTCCTTCTGAAGGTCTGACCTGCGTCTGACCCATAATACATGTTAGATTCCATGTGTGTGTTTCAAACACAAAGTGAAACCAGTAGCCCAAGCCAAAACAAAGGCAATGCGCTTTGACTGGTGCTCTCGCCCCCAAAGGAGTGCACACGCACACGCACACACACTCACATACACGCGCACACGCGCACGCACACACACACACACACACACACACACACACACACACACACACACACACACACACACACACACACACACACACACACACACACACTTTTACCCCCCAGAGAGCGCCCCACGATGTCGCTGAAATTACCTGACTGTCTTGTGTTGTTTCGTCGTACACACTGACTGCCTTTTATTGTGTATGATGGAGGGGGGGGGGGGGGGGGGGTTTCCTGCTTCTAGCAGCCCTTTTATTGAGGTTAATGCATTGTGACTAACACAGCGCTATTAAGCCTTTCTGTCTCTTGCAATCTCTTTCTCTCTCACTCCCCTTTATCTGTTTTTCACTATGTGTCTCTTTTTTCTTTTTCAATCAACAATCTTCAGTTGAACCTTGATTTCCTTTCTCCCCTTTTCTATGGTTGCATATTTGTTCTTTTTAGTTTCCCACCCTGTTTTACAATCTCAGCCCGTTAAACTTTTTCCATCAGCATTTTTCCTGCCCAACAGCAAGTTGTGAACATTTATTTTTTAACTTGAATAAAAGGATGAACGATATGGATTTTTAGCAAATAGTGACCACTTATAATAACCTGCAAAAGTGAAGATAATAAAGGCAAAGATATTGGGAGCAATAATAAATATTTCACATTACATTATTCTTACGTTTTCAAATCTGAATTTTTTAATTAATTTTTTTAAAACTGTGACAAACATCCACACTATTGACGATTATGTTTGATTCTCTAGTCAGTGTGCTACTTTTTTTTTTCTTGTTCTCTGTGTTTATTGGCAGATGCCCAACAAACTAAATGTTTTTACCACCATATTTTATCATCATTTGTAGATTCTAGTCAATGAGAGCAATTTCTCTTCATAATAACAACCTTTTTTTATTGGCACAATAATATACATTTCCCATTAGTGACTGCTGATCTGTATTGCGCATCCTTGAATTTCTAACAATAGTCATTTTGTTTAACAAGGTACAATTTCATTATCTACAAACGTTATGTAAATGGGCAATATCCCCACGGCTGGAACATGAGTTTTCCCAATCAGATTAGACGAATCCTTGCTGCATTAATAAATATAACCTTTCAACATTTACCTAAATGTAACACTCCCCCCTCTCTTTTCCTCCCTCAGGTCTCCAGACGGGCCCGACGGTCTCCCCCCAGCTCTACCCCCCAAACAGCTGAGCAGGAAAACCCTGAGCCAGATCATCCAGGCCCACTCCCAGCAGAGCCTCCTGGACAACCACCTCAACGAGATGTACGACGTCCCTGTGAACGCTGACAAGACCGTGGTCAGTAAAACCAAACAAGATGGAAACACGTGGTGCTTATTAAAAAACAGTCAGAAGGATACCCTTTTAGGCTTGATAATATCATAATCAAATATTCTCTCCAGTGTTAATTTTATATATCGTTGACAGAATGGGTTTCACAAATGTAAACCTCCGTAGATTTCATTAAACTATGCAGTATCATTTTAATTCATAAACCTCATTAGCCATGTTAATTAATGTCAAATTCAATGAGCACTTTTCAAAATAAGAGGTTCTTTTTGATTCATCTGTTTGTTTTGGTGTAGTTTTTTGGACTCCTAGTGGCCAAAAATATTTATTTGCCGCTTTAAATCTTATTGAATGAAATTAAAACCTTTGAACCAACATCCAATAAATGTTGCCTAGCGGTAGCGCCAGAGCCAATATCCCTTTGCCGCATAGGGGAATGGTATGAAAGACTGCAGTATGTGTGATGCATTGGTGTCCAAAATGTCTCTTGCAGCTAAATGGAGTAGTCCCCCATGATAATCTGGTCCTGATCAAGATGAAGCCTGACGAACACGGGCGTTTTGGCTTCAATGTCAAGGTAAGCGCTGACACTAATTGAGACACAACGGCCCTTTTGTCTTTGTTGTTCCATGGCTCATCTCATCGTCTCTCTCTTTGGTTTTCCCTCTTGTTTATGCCAAGTGATGAGAAACCTTGGCTAAAATGATCAGATGTGACTAATACCTAATCCTTGCCTAAACTGCTAACTCTGCTCTGGAAACAGAAGACGTGCGTCATGCTTTGTGCTGTTAGCTGATCTACTTGTGTGTCTCCAGGGGGGGTTTGACCAGAAGATGCCCATCATTGTGTCTCGAGTGGCTCCGGGAACTTCAGTAAGTCCATATCAATAATATAATGATGACATGAGTCTAGATTATGCCATATCCTTGTCTTTCACTGTTGTGTTTTGAGGTTGCATTAAGTAAAGCGATGTTATTTGATTTCTTTTTAAATGTGAATATAAGAATAAGGTCAAAAATCTCGTTGTGTAAATGTTTAATAGAAGCAGCAATAGTCAAGTCTACAAAAAAGTATCGATATCTAAGTATTTGGTCAAAAATATTAGGATATTTGATCGATACATATAAATAGATTAATTTTTTTATTTCTTTAATTTGTATAAAGTATGTTGGGCTGTATGCATATATAGTTGATAATATAATATATTTATTTCACTAGTGCTGAGTTTATGAATGTAATAAGACAAATGCAGCTTTACAAACAGCTACTACTTTAGCATTATGTAGTCTTAAGACACTCTATTCGGTATGAGAATCATTTTATCCAACTCAACACACATTACTAACGATGGTATCTCACCCTTCTCATTGTCTCCCTTTTTGTCTTTTCTTCCCTTCTTCGCTCTCCCTTTGACCTTTGCCCTCCTCCCCCTTCCCTCCTCCCTCCTCACCCTCCCCCCTCCCTCCCCTCCTCCCCTCCTCCCTCCCCTCCTCCCTCCTCAGGCTGACCTGTGTGTGCCTCGCCTTAACGAGGGCGACCAGGTGGTCCTAATTAATGGCCGGGACATCTCGGACCACACCCACGACCAGGTGGTCATGTTCATCAAAGCCAGCTGCGAGAGCCACTCTGGAGAGCTCATCCTATTGGTCAGGCCCAACGGTGAGTTCTTCCCATTGGCAGTAGAATACAACAGTTTAATGCCAGAGTGATGACACAATCTAAAAAAAACGTGTTTTGTTGTTGTATTGGATTGTAATATATTGCTTTTAATTTAGCAACCTTCTGTATATTTAAGATTTCAAAATACTTCAATAACCTTTTCATTAAGATAATACGTTTATAACCGCAAGAGACTACCCCCCCCTTTTTTTTTTTTACATTCTCCATATTTACTTTCTTTTCCTACATTACCCAGAGAGTTATTTGAATAATTTGTTTTTATTTTCCCTTTTGTTGGTTGTGCCTTTTTGTATGTTTTATTCATCTTTTCATTGTTGTTGTTTTTTCCGATTGGTGTTGTTCTTTGCTGATCTAAAAAAGAATAATGATGGTATCAGATGGGTGACTAAGCACAAGCGTCACCCATTCACTACTCAACCCCCTATTTCACACCTACATGGACATTATTGGAAACTATTTTTCTTCTCCTTCTTTCTAACACTATTATAAAAGAAAAAACAACTTTCCAAACTAAAACTTCTGCCATCTAAATCTAGCAGTAACTGGGTGCAACATTTTGTAACAGCTAATCTCCCTAAGAAGTACTTTGTGTGTTGCAACCCATTTTAATACAGTGCTGCATTCATCTCAACTTTTTAACAATTAAAGGGGATTTTTGGAGTTTTTCCCTTTCCTGTAGTGTGTTATATAGGTTTTTGTGGCTCTAAATTATACTAATAAGAAACCTGAAATGAGCATAATGGGGCCCTTTAGTGAGAACTAGGCAACGTGTAACACACAGACACCTGGTGCAACACACTCCTGAAGATTAACAGCTCCACATCTGCTCACCAGTTGTCACTCTTCTTCTGCTCTTCTCTGGAACACTTAATACTGTATCTCTCTGGTAATTTAAAGGAGTTAAAACTCCACATTTTGCTTTCTCAGCTATATGTATGCAGTGTGTAGGGAGATGGAAATCGTTTTTTCTTTAATCTGCATCAGCGATGTGGGAGGGGAGCTTTTAAAAAAATGATGAAACATAGATATTCTTGGTATTTTAACTGGGTCAAATGGGGGTTTATGGATTCGATCAGAGTAGATATAAGATTGCATCAATGTATTGAATTCCTGAATGTTCACATTATATCATTTTATCAGTTTTTAACTTTTATTACATACGGTTTTCGCAATTGAAATAACTGTATATCCCCACGGTGCAGTATTTAGGTTGTGACGCTTTTCTACATGATGTACTTAAAGGTAAATCGCCTCCCCCGAGCCCCAACCTACATAAACAGCTGTCTCTTTATAAACCCTAATATATGTATTTTCTGTTTGTTTCAGCCATCTATGACGTGGTGGAGGAGAAGGCGGACTCGGAGCCAGATTTTCAGTATATCCCTGAGAAGTCCCCTCAGGACCCCGCCCAGCTAGACCAGCATGCTTTGAGGGACTCCATGGTCACACTGAAGGACGGCCTGATCAGTGGAGCCATACTGGCACAGTTCGATGTGAGGACAAAGACATGGCAATAAACACACGAGTAGATACTGTGTATATACTGTATATATGGTGAAGTATTAGGGCCATTGTAGGGCAAAAAGTAATCATAAAAAGCTGAGGAAGGACGGTAATAGCTTGTGAGATTAAAATGTACAATAAAAAAACTCCTCCAAATCAGTATGTTATTTTCTTATGAAAAGACTCAATGTACAGCTATGTCTGTTAAAATTCCAAATGTTATGATAGTATGGTAATTTCTCAAGTATTTCCAATCGGTCAACCACTGCATCCAATTCTTTCTCATTTATTTGTAATGTTCTGCATCTTCATGAAAATCAGATGTTCTTGTGGAATTGTTTTTGATTGTTTAATGTTTGTTTTGTTTTTGAGCAATTGTGACACATTTATTTTTCTCCTTCACATTCCCGTCACTTCCTGTCCTTCATCCTAATCAGGGATACGACTTCCTGTTTTCTGAACAACGTGTTAGATGCAAACACATGCATATAAACTAACCCATTGCAGGAAAGCACTCACAAAATACTTGGAGAAGTTTGTTCGTATTGATTACAGGGCAAACTGATTTTCCTCCAGTTATTGTACCACATCTTGAATATTGTTCCTTTTCTTACAGCAACTGTACAGGAAGAGGCCGGGGATGACCATGCTGTGTGCCAAATTACCTCAGAACGTTTCCAAAAATCGCTACAGAGATATCTCTCCTTGTACGTAGCTGCACACAGTTTTCTATTTCTGTTTTCTTCTTTCTTGAAATATGTGCAGATGTTTCTTCCATGATACTCTTTCTTTCTTTTTTCCTTGTCAGCAGTTTGTTGTCTCTCTGTCTGTAATCTCACCCCTCTCTCTTGTCTTTCCCTCCGCAGATGATGCCACACGAGTCATTCTGAAAAGCACAGATGACTACATCAATGCAAATTACATCAATGTGAGTTTGTTCTTCCTCGTTTTTTCCTCTCCCAACAATACCTCAGTGTTTTCTGCCCGTTTGAGGCTTTTTGGGTGGTCTGTTTTTGCTAACCCTCAAAACACATGTTTAAACACTACGGGTCTCCGTACTGGTGAATGAATCAACCACAAGTGGAAAACATTGTGACTTAATGTTTTGCATGTTTTCGAGTCGGCCAATATAGCTATCATCAGCTTATGGGTGCTATTATTTTAAGCCCCTTTCATACATCTGTTTAAGTAATGCCTTGTTTTAAGTGAAAATAAGCTATTTGTTACACACATCTCTTTTAATGGCTATATTGAACATGTTATGACCTTTTTATGAATAGAGTTGTATTGTAAAACAGCAGAGAGTAAGAACAAAATGATGTAATAACGGAAGAAATGTATTGTCAGTTTTCCCAGAGGCTGTATAAAACATGGATTTCAACAAAATGTTGATTGTTTATCTCTATAGCCTAATTAAGGCTCATTGTGATTATGAAGGACACTCGCCTCCGCCTCTCACTCATCTAATAAACCCTTTACTTTACATTTTCTCATCAATGTCATCATTTATTAGATAGAACACATCCTGCTGCCTACTGTAAATCAAACGGTACCCAAGCATAGTTTAAAATGACAAGAAATGCATGTTTTACTCATTTAATTTCCATTTTTTTAGTATGGCAAGTGTTTGAGTATTCATGCTATTTGTTCGAACTTGTGTTCTCTGTAACACTGCATTCAATAATTGAAAAACTGTTACAGGGTCAAAAAACGTTGCTATCCAGCATTTGAATAGCTCAGTATAGCTCAAAAACCTTTTTTGGCCATGCAAACTGAAAGCTCAATTAGGACCATCTTACTTATATTTAATAATGAAATGTAGCACTTTATAACAGAAACATAACAAATAAAAGCATAACCTCAGCATATCAGTATATACATATGCAGAAAATGTGCAATAAAGTTTATATGAAATTCAACGCCTATGTAATCGGTTAAATCAACATAAATAATTATTATCAAATATATGTTTGTGTAGTTCTTATGTGGATTTGTTCAGCTTTTTTGGGACATATTGTGTAGTAGAAAGTACCCTAGACATTATTATTATACATGAGGATGATCACCGTGTCAATTTATTCTCTATGTCTACCAGGAATTTTGATTTTATGGGAATTGTAGAGCTGCTTAAAAAGTTGCACTTTTGTTGGCTAAAGTTGAAGTGGTTTTAGAGTAACCTGAGAACATTTAGCTCTTTACAAGGCTACAAATACACAAAGCACATCCACATCATTTAGAAAAAAAAGATGTTAAAGTGAGACTTGGTCTACCTAATATCTGTGTTCTGTATTTCTGTGTTTTTCTCTCTGTAGATGGAGATTCCAGCCTCAAGTCTTATAAACCGCTACATAGCGTGCCAGGGCCCGCTGCCCAACACCTGCCCTGACTTCTGGCAGATGACGTGGGAGCAGGGCTCGTCCATGGTGGTCATGCTGACTACACAGGTCGAGAGAGGACGGGTACGTAGGAAAGAAATCTTCAAAGACCTTCAAAACACATATGGACTGCAGCATGTTGAGAGAAATATATTTTTGCTGTCAGTAAATTCATCAGAAAAAGAATATTCAGAATTGATAGCTGTACATGTGGCATTGCTGGCCACAACCATACAATAAAGCCCAGTCTGCTCCGATTGGTTAGCTGGCCGGCTTGTTGTGATTGGTCAACCGCTTAGAGATGTCCAGCCCCTTAGACTATCACTTACAATGTGTCGGGTATGGGAGATAAGCTCCCTCTAGATGGAATTTGGGGATTTTAGCCTTTTGCAGACCATTTACATGCACTAAAACCTATATTTCACACTACAGGAAAGGGGAACCCCAAAAAGCGTAATAGGGCCCCTTTAATTATCAAAGCAGGTAGAAATGTTCAAATATGCATTGCTTGCTCATTTCTCTTAACATAAGAAAGAAGTGTTTAGTCCCAAGGGGAAATATTTTGGCTGCAAATTAAAAAAAAAATCATACTTTTTATATCCCTCTGAAAGTTTTTAATAATTCCAGGTTGACTGAGTGTATGTAATGCTATATCTTTGTGAATTAAAGACCAGATAATAGTGGGTATTCTTATTCTGTAGCCTTGACATGTTGTTCCTGGACAGCTGTGTCTTAAGTAAATGGTCAGTTAACAGATACACTTTATCTGTGTTTTAAAGGTAAAGTGTCACCAGTACTGGCCCAATCCAGACTGCAGCGCCATCTATGGAGACTTTTCAGTAACTTGCCACAACGAAGAGGGCAACTCTGCCTTCCTGGTCCGGGAGATGACTCTGGAACACATACAGGTAAACACACAAACTCAAAAGAGAACAAAAATAAAACAGACAGGAAAGGTAAATTAGCTTTGAATCAGAGGAACAAGCGAAAGAAGCAGAGCAGGGGAAAGAGGAGGGTGAAGGCGTCACAGAGGAAGGTGCAGCATCCAATCGGAGCACAGCACCAGCGTCTCAGTAAGGATGAGCCGCCGTGGACCCAGAGGAGGTGTGTTGCCATAGTGACCAGTGTGGGCTGTTCTTTATCTGGCTCACGCTGCAGTATGCGGGACACGTATTGGGAACTGGTTACCATGACAACCCCAACCGCCCCAGTCAGTCACATTGCTGAAATGGGAAGAGGAAAAAAAGAGGAACAGGGAGTGGGACGATGGTTGTTTGGAAAACATAAATAGATAAAATGTGTGCTTCTCTTACTTTAAAGTTGAAGCCTTTTGATGCACACAGCGTTACTCATCTGTCATTTGGACTTTTTGGTTTCATCTTCTGAAGTTAAGGCTGTTATTTGTTTTCTGTTGAAAAATGGTGCAGTGTTCTCGTGTTATGGGATATACTGTATGTTATATATCGTATACCATGCAAAGATTTAGGACATAATCAAATCTAAAATAACTTTTATTTCTCCCCCCTAAAGAATTTAAATGAAAAGTCAACAAAATCAACTAAGTGAATAGGAGATGAGTAACTGCAGCGGAGTATTATATTTTATATTGACACTTTAGTAATAATAAATAAGACAAAAAGAAAGTGAAGAAATAAGTCTTGAGTTCAAATAAAGGTCCCTTTACCTTTTGTATTTGTTGTCCTTCAGCCACTAAGCTTGGGGCAAGCTGCATTAAAATGAACTTTTAATGCCGGAATGTTCCTCGTCGTTTCCTTATGTCTGTGCTCTACTGATAACTTCCCCGCGTGTCGCCTATGTATGGTGAACTTTTGAAATATATGGCTGTTATAGGAGGCAATTAGCATCCTCCTCTGCCTGTGATTGTTGCTATGGAGATAGATGTGTTACCATGGCGATGCAGCAAGGCAATATTAAAGAAGAACACAGGGGCTCTGAGTCGCACATCAAACCGCTTTCAGTAGTTATCTGCTGTGTGTTTGTTTGTGTGTATGTGTATGTTTGTTTTGCTATACTTGTGGGACCCAAGTGTTGAGATCAACCAAGTGTGTGTGTGTGTGTGTGTGTGTGTGTGTGTGTGTGTGTGTGTGTGTGTGTGTGTGTGTGTGTGTGTGTGTGTGTGTGTGTGTGTGTGTGTGTGTGTGTGTTGTCCCTGTTGGATTTAAATCGCGCTGACTTTTCTTTTCTTTTCCCTGAGTGCATATTTCCTTGCTACAGTTTTCCTTTCCCTTTTTAATTGAACAAAAAAGAGAAAGCTTGATATACACATTAATTGTTTGATTTCAGCAAAATAAAATGTACGTTGTGTAGTACAGTTGCAGAGATTTTGTCCTCAGTATCTGATATTTAATGGGAAAGAACAACGTGAATCATGAAGTGGCCCAGCTGAGCGGAAGAAATAAACCCACTGTTTGTTATTCACACTGCCCGTTTCATAACGCGTTTAAAGGCCATAATTACACAAACAGGGTGCTGTGCAGTATCCCCCCAGGACACAGAGCTCAATGAGAGAAGCTCGGAGGTCGCCCACATGAAATACAATAACCTGTTTTGGGCTCTGAGGATGGGCGATATCTGAGAATTATTCATTACTTAGTCAGCTTAAGGTCTTGACTGAGGTGAGAGAGAAGCCTCTCAGTGTGTTTCCAATAATAGAGAAGACTTTTTGAAAGGAAGATGGAAATGTAATATTAAGTCATTTGTCATTTCAGAGTGAACAGCAGAGAGAGCTTACCCAGATTCAGTACCTAGCCTGGCCTGACCACGGGGTTCCTGACGACTCCACTGACTTCCTGGACTTTGTGTCTCTGGTGCGGACAAAACGGGCCGGACAGGACCATCCCATGGTGGTGCACTGCAGGTATACTCACTCTTTCTGTGTTTTTTAAAAGGTGAACCCGTTATCAACCATTTTGCGTGCTTGAGGTCGATTAACTGAACTAGAATAGACCCACAGAAGTAAAATAACAAAGATAGCACATGTACCATGCTTTCATACTGAAGTAAAAGTTTAGGCCCCTGTGTCTATCACAACAGTTTTTCATGATTGCGTTTAACAAGTGACTCTTGCTAGTGCAGAATAATTAAACATTTGTAAGAGTGAAATAAAAGTCATGAATTCTGATATTTTATGGAATTTTCTCTGATTCAGGAGAAAATTTGATAATACATTTTGGGCCACTTTTTTCTCATTATGACTTTAATTCAATTCTAATAACATGTTTCTTGTTTCCAGCGCTGGCATTGGTCGAACAGGGGTTCTGATCACCATGGAGACGGCATTGTGTCTAATGGAGTGCGGTCAGCCAGTGTTTCCTCTGGATACCGTCAGGACCATGAGAGACCAGAGGGCCATGATGATACAAACACCAGTACTTAGACACATCCTTTTTTCTTTCTCGATGCTCTCACATTTTAAACCCTGCGCTAAAATGTTTATCCATCTCCCTTGCAGAGCCAGTACCGCTTTGTGTGCGAGGCCATCCTGAGAGTGTACGAGGAGGGCCTGGTCAAACCGTTCAGGACCGTCGTCTACCAGCTGAGAGAAAAGGGGGAGGAGGACGGGATGGAGGAGGAGTACGGAGAGCAGCTGAACACGGCAGAAGGATCGGAGATGGAAGCGTCGGAAGACGGGGATGTGGTGTCTGCGGTGGAGCTGCTGGAAGAAGGTCTAGATGAAGAGGACGACGACGACGAAGAGGTGGAGGTGCTGGACGTGGGGGAAGTGACAGAAGACGGAGAGGACGACGACGACGAGGACGAGGAGGTGGAGGAGCTGAGCGTCGCAAGCATCGCAAGTGCTGCAAGCATTGCGAGTGCCGCTAGTGCTGCTAGCGCTAACACGGAGACCAGCGAGAACCCTGACCCCGACCCCGCTAACCCCTAACTTGACCTTTGGCAGTCACCGGGGGTTACCGGGAAGTTGCCAGGCAACCGGAGGAGAGAACAAAAGCACTGTTGCACTTTACGCTGAGAAAAATGGGGGAAAAGAGGACACACAAACGAACAAATAAACAAACAAACGTGAAAGTACTGGACAAGCTAGAATAAAAAAAGAACCCAGCCGTGTTGAATAGGTACCATTAGGGGGATATTGTATGTTCCGGGTGAAGATAAAAGTCTACAAAGAGTGAAAAGTACGAGAGAATAAAACGTGGATGGGGAATTGCTGTAGTGCCATAAGTAAGAAGGGGAAGGGCCGCCACCCCAATGGATGGAACGTTTTTTTTTTCCGCAAAGGGTCGCCCTGTCCCCTTCCGAGCGAGTCTGCCAGACGGACCTGCCTTTTTTTAGTGTCCTTTTAGCTGATAAAGAGATATACCTTATCTTTTTTTCCTCAGAAAGAGTATTTATTGTGTTTTTAGTTTGTGTCAAACCCTGTCCACTGAACAAAACAAAAAAAGAAATGTATATGTTTGTTTGTATGAATCTAGAGCTTCATGCTTTCCTGATTACATTTTTAGGTAGTAAAGTATTCCTCTTCCTCTAACTACTTCTTCATTTGCTTTTTTCGTGGGGGAAAAAAAACCTGATTTAATTTATTGTACTTACCTTTCTAGGCTTTCTGAGTTCCTGACAGCGCTGATAGACATCTCACCTCTTGTTCAATGCCGCGGCAAGTTGTGTTTTTGATTCTGCTTTGTGCTGAGTTTTTTAGCTTTACAGACAACACATGCTGCCAAGCAACCTTTGTTTGCCATGGTGGAGAAAATCTACTATTCTTGTGACCGGTGTTTACTGGGCACCTCTCTTTCAACCCTTTCTCTCTACTGTAGGCCTACCACTGAATGACACAGGGACAGAAAATGATAAATTTCAGAAAAATTAATTAATTCACAGTACGTAATGCTAATGGTAATTTAACACAGGAAGACGAATTTGGTATAAAAAAGAGAGGCCCCCCCTAGACACTCGACCTCACTAACCTACAATCTAAGCTAATTCCGCCGCTGTGGTTGATAAAGCTTAAGAATCAAGGATGAGGTCGGTTCATTTCGCTTATTCAAATCGACATTCACTCAATTCGATTTTTAAATCAAAATCTGGGTCCCTGTCTGAAGTGTCCCTGAGCCAGACACTAGCAATACATTAATTGTTTTAGAACCTGGTACGCAAATAATGATAAAAAAAACATGAGTTTTTAATTAGTTTTGAAGTGGTTAAAAGCTGCTTAAACTTTTATGCGATCAGTATTTCCATTTTAGGATAACTTGACGGTGAACTGATCTCAACCTTTAGTGTGAATCGTAAACATTTTAAAGGCTCCCTCCACTGACCTCTCATTTGTTTTACAATTTAACGACATTTGAATCATTTTATCTTTCCTTAACATTTGTAGAATATTGAGTTCTTGTATGACCCAGGTATCCATTAATTTAATTTTTCCAAAGAATTTTCCTAACCTAATAATTTTTTTTATCTTGGTTTTATTAAGGTTCAGAAGTCACTGGAGCGGAGCTTTAAACCAGCCTTTGCTGTTTATTTTTTCTCTAAATCTGAACAGTTGACAGTTCAAAGAAGCAGCACAAATACAACTTTCACCCAATCATTTTCCCCTTGTTTTTAAAATAATCTTTCCCAATGGTACTTTATTTTTAAGGCACATGTTGTGCCAAGATGATGTGTTAATGAGTGACAAAACTTGTATTTTTAATTCACAAAACCCAGCATCGAATTGAGTCTTTTTCTCTCAGTACAGGTAAAACTGAACATAGTGCTATGGAATGAAGTGTAGCCTCTTCATCATTTGAGATCTTTTTCTTATTGGTACCTGCTGTCATTGGATTCTGCTGGAAAACCCTTACTGCTGTGAGTGTGTGAGAGTGTGTGTTCTCAGATCTTTTTCTACATCTCTGTCCTTCCTCAATTTCTAACATGTAGTCTGTTAGCTGTCTGGTCTAAGCCTGCTTGTCTGTTAACTGGAATGATGGGTTGTGCCATAGCGACACAAACCTAATCAAAGGTTTTTCCAAAAAAACTCAAATACATCATTCTTGGAGAGTGTTTTAAGTCTGTCCTATAAACAAGGCTGAATTGTATCTTTTAAAACATTTCAAAACAGCTGAATCCAACTTTTGCCCCATCAACAAAAGCAATCTTTCTCTATTTGATTTGTTATACTCTCCTGTAGGGCTGCTCAATTAATCGTATTTTAATCGCAATAACGATTATGGCTTGCAACGATTACGAAAACAACGTAATCTAAATAAAACGATTATTTTTGTATTATTATTATGACTTTTCTTTTTCTTTCTTTTTTTATAATTTTTTTTTTCAGTTGAATTATACTTAAAGTTCAGGGTAAAAAATTCTCCAATAAATGGATGTTTTCAAAGTAAATGGATAATTGTTTTTAATAATCGTGATATCAATGATTGATCCAAATAATCGAGATTATGATTTTTGCCATAATCGAGCAGCCCTACTCTCCTATATCATGGCCCTCTCTCACAATCTGCCCTCTCTCAGAGCCTACGCAACATCCACAGTCTATTCTTCTTGTTGTTATTCCCCAGAGGCCTTTTAAAAATTATTTTCCACTCTCTAAATAGCCTCAAGGCAAATGATAAATATGAGTAAAATACCATGAGTTTTTAGCCAGTGAATGACTGACTGATTTGTTTCTCATTGGACGTATGAGCTAAAAAAAAAAAAACATTTAGCCCCGTTAGCATTTTTTATTCTGCTGCAGGGCAAAATCAAATTGAATTAGTGCTAAAGGGCTCATGATAAAACAATTATTTAAAATTTTTTTTTTTTTTTTACGGAAAACATAAAACATTGATACATCAAGGCCCGTCAACTGTGTTCAAAGTTTTTCGTTGTTGACACATAATTGGTAATGTGTGTGCGTTTAGGGTACTGATCAAAGGTAGTTTGAGGGGACCAGACATAGGGAGGGCTCGGGGTTAGTTGTTTTTTTGTAAAGATAAACAAAACAGCTGTAGTCAGGTTAGGGAAAGGACATCACTTTGTAGAAGGCTGAGTGGCAGGTAGTGCTACTGGAAAAAAAAAAGTAACAATAAGTCGGAGAAATAATGCATTGTTAAGCTCTTTTTTTTTTTGTATTTGTCATTTTTATTTAGTTTCTCAATAAGACCGGTAGGGGGGAAAAAGAAAATAATTCCTAACTACACAGTGCCACTTGTTAATTTTGTGTAAATAATACTAGACCCTGTAAATACAATGTTGTATATGAAAAAAAAATCATTTTCCCATCAAAAAAAGGGAAAATCATTTGTGAGCAGAAAGATTTTGTTTTCATTTGATTTTTATCCCCTTTTTTTTGGATGATTTAAATGTGACACAAATGGTGTGTATTTCAAGACTGCAATTTCCATTTTTATTTTTTTTTAGATAATAATCTATAACAGCGAGTGTATATATAATGAATCACAAAATAATTGAGAAATGTTTTACCGTATTATACCCTTGGTTAACTCCTACCTGTGTCATAAAATCCTTTGTCCTCAGTTGCTTGTTTCTTTCTGGTATCATGGTTTTACGGTGCTTTGTCTATAAGCTTGATTGTGAACAATTAAAGCTTGTCTTTCAAAGCATGGAGACGTGGCTTCGGATCCCTTTTACTTTTTCCACACTGTAAACGTGAGCTTTGGAAATGTTAGCGTGACCAGCGAGAAGAAGAAAAAGATGGCACTCGTGCTGAAATCATTAACAGAATAACTTTTCCAATAGTTTTTTAATTAAATGTAACTAAAGAGTAAAAACTAAGTCTAGCAACATCTCTGTAATGCCTAGAATAAAAACGAATGCACTGACAGAAATAGGTTTTATAAGAGGAAAAAAAGGTTTGGATTAAAAACTGGTATTTTCATGACACATCTCTGAAAAAGCAGCTTTACCACAGTCTTAACAATGAACCAACCTTTAAGTTTTATGATAACGTCAATTATTTCATAGAATAAGCTATTTTATTATCTAACCACCTCCTTTTAAAATGGTATTATTGATCCAGATGCAATACAAATAGGTATTACTGCCTAATAAAGCCAAGGCTAGTACTGTTAGGACTACATGCACATCGTTTGAAACGTTATAAATTCAACACACAAAAAAAGCAGTTGCCATGCTTCAGAGGTTTATCAATTCTTATTTTTAAAGTTGGTATAAGCCTCAAATAAGTCAAGTTGGCCTACTTAGATGTATAGACCACAGCTGGCTTATATAACAGCATATTAGAGCATTAATATGAGATTACTTGTGGCAAAGCATGGGCCACATTTTGAGACAGTATAAGTAGGCATTTTGCCGAGTAGCACTGCGCAGGATATACACCGTCCACATTCATTATTGGGATACCATATATGGTTACCTAATATTGTACATAAAAAAGCAACCATGATAAGTTAGATTTGGTCTTTATTGTTGGCAATGCTTTTGACCTGCACCTTTGGTGTGATGTGCTTCAGAAAAACATTAAATGTTTAAATTATTGTAATGACATTTAGGATAAAGTTAAGAGTAATCCCTGCTCCTGGCAGGAATTGCATGTAAAAAAAACCTAAAAAATGACAGTCACATTTGTAAACCTTTATTCCCAAACGAACCAGAAGGGGGTGTTGCTCTCCAATAGTGGCAACAATCTTATTAAACAGTAGTGGTGACAAAACCTTATGGCGGCTTCATTCATAAATATAATAAAAAATCCAATGTTCTTAATACGGGAAGTTTTGGATGAAATTACACCTATTTCAAGAATGTTTGGTTATTTATATATTTGACTGCATATATTGTTACTTTATGCAACAACCCTGTTTTCTCAGGCCATGTATTAAGAAATAACAGCGTAATTTAATTTATTTGGTATAAACCGACAAGGAAAATTGATTTAGCGTGTTGTTTTTAATACTTAAAAGTATTTAACAAAAAGCATAATGTAACCATGCCGTCTCAAACTAAAAGGCGTGTCGCTTTAAAAATGCTAATTACGTGTCTGTTGGGGATTTAACATGACGTCACATCCTGAGGAAAGCTTTGCCTCCTACTTTTTGTTGGGATCTGGGAGAGAAAATTATCCAGCAGAGGTAACGAAGTTGGGAAAAGAAAGAAAGAGAAACAAGTTACACACCATGGAAATGTACTAGGTATCTTTTTGGTAGTCTAAAATGCAAGCGGACGTGCTTTCACCGTGAATTCATACGAGGAGGTTTTTGTAAGTACCTTTTATCCAGACCTACACGGATCCACAAGTGGCTGCGGAGCAAGTGTATGTCTGATACAGCCTTCTGAGCAAAGGCGGCGTTTGATTTGCTGAACGGGACGCGCTTGTACGGACGGAGCCTTGAGTGTACTGTGTGCGTTCGGTGCTAACGGTTAGCTCCTGCTTTAAAACAAGCGCACACCTGTTGCATTTGCTTTCATCTGGTACCTCAGGCCTAAACTGGGTTCAATGTAAAGCCAAGGGTTACACAGTTTATTTATTTGACTACTTAATATTATTTTTGCGGAAGCATAAAGAAGTTTTTTTGCCTGTCATTGTATTTTAGACATTTTAAGGGGTTTTAGCAGCCCAGAAAGCTCAGTAATTTCTCAGCGGTTTATCTTCCTGGATGACGTGCACCACAAATACTAAACGAGTTTACACATCTTTTAAGTGTACTACATAGTAGTTTACTTTTGCAAATTAATTTAAATGTCAAGTTAATTACATTTCCAAAATACTTTTGATCTTTTCCTCTTTTTCAATTCGTCGAATAGAGAAACACAGTAACGTTAAATGAAATAATTAAGCATTAGAATATGTACATGTTCTCGTTATCTTAATGTTAAGTAAGTGTTATCATTATGACACTGAAACTAACAGTTAGCACTAGCTCACCTTAAAGCCAATCGTTTACTGTTTCCGTTATTATTAAACAGGGTTAGTGTAACAATTGGGCTTATAATGCAATACATGTTAACAGGATACGATGTATTGCTGTCAATTATTCCTCTTTCCGACTGAGTTACTTTATAAAACGCTATATCCGTTGATGTAGCTTAGCTTTATTATCCGATTGTTGTATTTGTTAGCAGATTAAATCTAACTCTGTCAGCCAACATGTATCTCTAGGTGTATGTCAGACTAGAAATACTAGAATATTCTTTTACAAGTAAAAGTCCTGCTTTGAAAATGTTACTCAAGTAAAAGTACGAAAGTATCATCAAATATACTTTAAGATTTCAGAATAATGAATATTATATGTTTTGATTATAATTGTTGATACATTTTAAGTGTTATCAAAGCTGATAAAGATGCAGCATTGTGTTGCAAGTGTTGATTATATTTCACATCATAAATCCAAGTAAAATTACATGATATACCTCTGAATTGTAGTTGGGTAGAAGTCCAAGGTAGTAACAAATCACTGAAGTAAAGTACAAGTTGCTCGAAATTGTACTTGAGCACAGGACTTGAATACATACTTAGTTACTTTACACCACTGGTTGCCAGGCAAACAATTTAGTTAATATACACTTAATGTTAAGAACAACGTAGACGGTAGCCTTCTCTGCATCCTGCATATTATGCAATGGTAACTAACTATATAGCCAATATGAAAAAAGGGCTCACCTGTTTGTTTGCAGTTTCTGTCAGGTATTCATTGTGATTAACTAGCTAGCTGCTAAATGACATTGACAGCATTATCCAACAAAACAATAAAACTGCTTATTTTTCTGTGGTCGCAGCATACACATGACAAACAAAATGCACATATTGTTTTTAAATCTTTAAACGATTCTAAAGCCCTGTGCAGTTCACTAATACACAATTATCTTCTCTTCTCCCACAGGTGTGGTAGTGTGACCCTCCCTCTCCCCCATCATGCTGAGTTTCCTGCGCAGGACGCTGGGGCGACGCTCCATCCGGAAACATGCAGAGAAAAGTCGGTTACGGGAAGCCCAGCGTGCCGTAACGCACATCCCTGCTGCTGGGGACGCAAAGTCTGTCATCACCTGCCGTGTGTCCTTACTGGACGGGACGGACGTCAGCGTGGACCTGCCGGTAAGGAGAAAGCCTTTTTGGTTGTTATCTGCTTAGTGATCACTACCCAGACGTTTTTGACCTTCAGCCATCAACATTGAGATAGTGCTCTCTTATATACCTAATTGTTGGGAGCAGCATGCTATATAGCGCTTGTCAAGGCTTTGGGACCTCTCAAAGAGCTTTCACATAGACATAACCTTCATTCACATTCATACAGAGGCAGATACGATATCAAACAAGGTGCCACCTGCTTAGGAAAACTAGCATTCACACACATTTACTCATGATTTACACAATGTTGGCCATACCATCGGGAGCAATTTAGGGTTAAGTATCTTGCTCAAAGACGATTCAACATTTTTAAAAGAGGACGTCCATGTACCTCCTGAGCCTCAGTTACCAAAAACAATTGGACTTTTTAAATCACATACTAACTTGAGAGTTACAAAGCAGTTTGGTGGCTACATAAGGAAATTGAGCATATACTGTATGCAGTTAGTAAGCAAGTTAAAAAGTAAGTAGTCAAGGAAGATCTCTGACAGTGGCGACATATCAGTGGTCAAACAGAAGAAAAGTATTTAGATATTAGAACAACAAGTTACATTTCTAATTTAGGTAGTTTTTTTTTAGTCTGATGTAGGGGAGGCTGTGGCGCAGTGGGTTGGTGGTCTGGTGCGTTGGTGGTTCAAACCCCACTGCAGTCAGCATGCTGTTGTGTCCCTGGGTAAGACACTTCACCCCAAATTGCTCCTGTGGGGATTGTCCATAGTATTGAGTATGTAAGTCGCTTTGGATAAAAGTGTCTAACAAGTAACATGTAATGTAATAATGTAATGTGTCTCACAATTCCTTGACAACGCCTGCATTCCTCCAGAGACCAGTTTCCCAAACTCAAAGTTTTGCAACCATGACAGAGTGTGTTTGCTCCACAAGTGCTGAGACTGCCAAGGCACACNACGACAACATGAAACACCCTTTAATTTACTGAAACGACATGTCGGGAAACCCCACAAGGCGGCCCCATGCATAGCGCGCGCTCTGTGTGTGGGGGGGGGAATAAACGACTACGGTAACGGGTCCCAAGGTGGGTAGACCGGCATACGCAACGCTCTGGGGGTCCAACGGCTCCGTGTGTGCCCTATATGATCATTTTCTGATAACGATGAAAGAGCCCGCCTCCCTCTCCCCACGTCTCCTGCTGCTGCTGGGCTGTCAGAAGAGGGGGGAGAAAAAGAGAGGCAGTCACCGTTTATTAAATATTATTATACAGAGAACAGAGTCGTTATCAATTTGTTTTCAAGCTCAATAAATAACAAAGAAGACCTCTGACCGGCACTTTCCTAATTTTGTCCGGAAGATTTAAATTTTAACGGACATGTTGACCGGCGGAACATTTTTTTTACGGAAACTGCCGCACGGTCCCCTCGTTCCTTGGAAGAGGCGGAGAGGTGGGTGTTTTTCATCTGCTGGTGGACTACCTGAGAGATACAGCAGGAGAACACGCCGTCCACCGCGGAGAATAAACAGAAGGGCAACCATGGCAACCATGCTCCGGGGTCTTCTTCGCTGCTTTTGGTGTATTTCGGGCGGCAGCAGCGCCACTTACAGGCCTGACATATGTACTACATCATTTCCAGCATTTCCAGCGGTCTAGTGTGAACGGACACGTTAATGAATCGAATGCGTGTGAACGGAAGCCTTTTTTGCGCTTGCGTATGCGTTTTACCGTGTGGGGCCGGGGTCTAAGCCAAACTATATCCGGTCACAGAGATCTGCTATTTTAAAGTAAAGTCAACACATATAGACCCTAAATAGTCTATATTAAGAACGAGAAACGTCTTAACATATATATCCTTTTTTGTAAACATATGACAAATGTGTGAGGGTGATGACGTCAGAGCATCGTCCTATGTGCCAGGGCTTAGCCCCGGACAGCCCCAGCCCAATTTAACCCCTGGGTATTTGTGAGGGAGCTCCTATATGGCATTACCCCGCTGAAGCTCACCAAAGTTTAACATATTTCATAGTTCAAAGTTTTGTCAATTGTTTTGTTTATTGGTCAAATACTGGTTTCTAATGTTTTCTGAGGAGTTTTACTGGAATGAAAGAGCACAGAGTCTACAGAAGCACACTCGTTCACATGACAGCATCACATGACATTTAGGACCCATCATTACCAAGTGGACACGGAGCAGAACTTCACTCTCTCTCCTGTCTTTCCCCCATTCCCCCCCCAAGATGCAACGTTTTTAAAATAAATGGCCAATACAGATGTTTAAAATAAGAATAGCTGGTTGTTTTTTTGTACCTACCTTTCTGTGTCTGGGAAGGAAAACAAATATCTTTGATATGAAAAAAAAATCACCTACACTTTCTTTACATACTCATTTATGAAATAACCTTTTACTGTAGTCTTCTTTTACATAAATAATTGCCTTTCTTTAACTGTTATACAATTATAGCCCAGTATCTACTAAGGCCAGTATCTACTAAGGCTTATTTGAGCTGGCAGGTGCTGTCACATTTTCTGGTTGGCACATTTTTTTCCAAGAAAGATCCCCACAGAGCTTTCATTTCTTTTCATTTGTAAACAAACCCTGCACGGTGCACAGCAAACTGCATGCAGTTTGCTTTTCAAACTGGGACATGAAAACAGCGGAGAAGTAACAGGGCAGAAACCCTCCTTTTTACGCAACTGTCCAGACAAAGACATCAAACGGCAAAACATATTTAGTTGGCAGTTACTTTGGCATTAGGGCAGGGATATCTAGATACTTTCCAAGGTTTGACATAATGAATTGTGCTACTTTTAAAGCAAGCAACGATGTTTTCAAATCTTTAATCAAATAGGTCCGCAAAAAAGTTTTTGAAGCAGTTCCTGCCGTTGCTACGTAGTTCAAACACAGTAACAACAGACTATTTTTGATCTGCCTGTCGGGTGTTCTTTTACCCACAATGACCGCCTCGCTGCACATTATCCCTTAACTTCGACCTCCGGGGTGGCCTTACTATGGAGGAGTGGATTGAGCAGTGCCTATCTCCAGAAATAAAATGCACCTAAACGACGACATGCAGAGCTACGTGAAGAGCAGGTCAGACCAACTGGAAAAGTACCACCATTCAAAAGCTTTCTGATGCGGGTCTTGAAACAAAGCAGAGAAATGATGACCGTTAGTGGCTACAGGTGGGAAAGCTCTCTCCAGAGCTACTGGAAGCCCAATCTCGGGGACCGGAGAAAGTGGAGCAATATTCTCGCCACGCCGAGCAACAGCCTAGAACAACCTCAACCTTTACAAGTGACCACGTAAGCCATGCTACTGATGCTGGAGAGTTTTTCAGTGGCTGCACAATAGACGGCAGCATACACATAAATGTAAATAAATAGCCAAGTAATCGATCAACGCTTGTCAAATATGTTCGCTAGCTGTTAGTGTTGTTGCATAGCAACCACCTCGCACTATGTTTTGTGCAGAAGGCAACGGAGGGACTATTTTATTTTGAACATCATTATTTACTAATAAAAACTATTTAAATTAGTGTATTTTTCTTTCATATTGCCACACTTGGTAACCGTTTTATAAAAGCAATAGCTTCGCGTCCGACCGAACCACGCCCTTTAACTGTGATATAATGACCATATACCACGGCCTGTCGTGAGCTATTGCTTCATTATATTTTTAAGAATGAGGGCTTGATTATTGGATATTCTTCCCCTAATTTTAATTTCTCAGAGGTTTTGCTACCATGTGTTTCCATTGGCATTCCATGTGAAAACCTGCAGCATTCCAGTGAGGCTAGTCTAGTACCTATGACTCAACTTTATCTTGAAATCTAACCCTCAGAATAAATTAAGTGGAAGATGGGCGAATTTACTTTTTCAACATTACTGCATACATCTTGTTTGAACCCCAAATGTTTCTGCTTTGTCTACAAAACACTTTCTTCCCCTTTGTTTCTTATTCAAAAGAGGTATTTATTTTTATGTAAAGGTGTTACTCTTGCCTGAGATTAAGCAGTGGTATCTAGTTGTGAAAAATGAAATAAACCACCATTTGAGAATTCCTTACCAGCTAATTAATGCATCAACATATTTTATTATGAAAGTCTCGAAACTATGTCACACATTTCTGAATCTGTCTACCTGCAAGAGCTGCTAAAATAATTAACACGTTATCCTTCGTATCTGCTCAGTATTGTGTGCAAAGAAAGGTGAGACTTTCTTCGAGTGGAATGTTATCTGCTGCAACTGTTTATCTCACTGTTTCACTTTCTTCTTTTTGTTTACCATTGTTAGTTGGGATTTTTTACTTCCTAATCGTTAAAGTTTATTGTCCTTGTAGCAGTGTGCTTTCATGCTTTAAAAACTCAAGTCAGTTTCTTTGTGGGCCTGAAGGAACATTTGATTTGATTTCTGAATGCATTCCAGCAGAGCCCTGGCCTTGTGTTAAGTTTCAAAAAGAACTTTCTTTGGTGTCTCCCATCCCCCAAATATATAATATATCCTTCTGTTGTATCATCCATCTATCTCTAAGTGATAGGACATTGACAAGAACCCAGTTAGCAGCATTGCTCTGTTAGCTTTGTAGACATCTGTTGCAACAGTATCAGCATTCAAACACAACCAGAAAGGAACTGTAGAAGGGAAGACCTCGTAAGAGGACTACTTCTTTGTATGTTAAGGTGTTTTCAGCAACACTCTTCATTTGGTCAGTCATTATGGGTAGTTTCTCTTTTTTTAGCTTCTCCCTCAAAACATCATCAGATAGTGAAACGTTTTTTCTTCTGCTGGGTGAGTGTTCTTGCCCTACGCTAGAGCCTGCATGTGTTGACAGTAAGTGGAGGCAGCTAAGGCAGGGCATCACCATGGAAACATTGTCATGCTCAGTGTTAGATTTTCCTGAGGTTATCGGGCTGACTTTTGTCGTCTGGGGGGTGGCCCCCTTTAGTTGGTGATTGGACTAATTGGTGGTGTTGGTCCAAGATTTCATAAGCTGGCTAACTTAAAAAAAGAT